TCCTCTTCCTCTTCCTCCTCTTCCTCTTCCTCCTCTTCCCCTTCCCCTTCTTCTTCTTCTTCTTCTTGTTCTTGTTGTTGTTGTTGTTGTTGTTGTTGTTCTTCTTCTTCTTCTTCTTTCTTCTTCTTCCTCCTCCTCCTTCTCTGCTGCCGCCGCCTCCTCCTCCTCCTTCTTCTTTCTTCTTTCTTCTTTCTTCTTCTTCAACAGGGTCTCACACTGTCACCCCAGCTGGAGTACAGTGGCGTGATCACAGCTCACTGCAGTCTTGACTTTGCAGAATTGGGCAATCCTGTTGCCTCAGCCTCTTGAATACTTAGGATGACAGGGTCACCACTACCATGCCCAGCTAATTTTGTTGTTGTTGTAGTTGTTGCTGTTGTTGTTACTATTTGTAGAGACGGGGTCTCCCTATATTGCCCAGGCTGATCTTGAACTCCTGGGCTCAAGCAATCCTCCCACCTCAGCCTCCCAGAGTGCTGGGATTATAGGTGTGAGCCACTGTGTACAGCCTCCATATGTGTACCTTTATACCGCCAGTTTTCTAATGTATTTGAATCAATTCAAACTATACTAGCAACACATGAGTTCTAGTTGTTCCACATACTTGATCTTGGCTTTTTCATTTTAGTCATTTGTTTTGTTTCGTTTTGAGACAAAGTCTCACTCTGTTGCCAGACGGGAGTGCAGTGGCAAGATCTTGGCTCACTGCAACGTCCACTTCCTGGGTTCAAGCAATTCTCCTGCCTCAGCCTCCTGAGTAGCTGGGACTACAGACATGTGCCACCACATTCAGCTAATTTTTATACTTTTATTAGAGACGGGGTTGCATCATGTTGGCCAAGCAGTCTGGAGCTCCTGAAGTCATGTGATCTGCCCATCTCTGCCTCCCAAAGTGCTGGAATTACAGGCATGAGTCACCACGCCTGGCCTCATTTTAGTCATTCTAATGGCTATCTCATCCTGGTTTGAATTTACATTTCCTGATGAGTATTGAGATTGCACACCTTTTCATTTGCTTATTGGCTGCTTGGCTTATTCTCTTGTAAAGGACATAAACAAGTATTTGGCACTGACATGGTAAACTTTTTCCTTAAACTGAGTTTTAAAAATAAATAGCGTGCATTTATAAACATTCTTATTCAAAGAGCAAGAAAGTTTGCCCTGTGAACTCTATTGCAGTAAGTAACTTTTGAGAAGTCTGCTGATACATCTATAAACCAAGATGACTTTGGCCACCATGATTGCCTTTCATATAAATTTATAAACAGGAAGAAACCTTGAATGTTCTTTTCGGGCCACTAAAGCTACCAGCATTGGTAAGAAAAAAGAAAATAGAATTAGTAATAAATACAAGCATTGTTTTTTAGCCTTGGGAATAGCTTTTTGTCTGTTTGGTTTTATGAATTGTTTTATGAATTCTGATTAGTAACAGAATAAGCTGTTAATTAGTAAAATATTACTAATGTAAAGAGTTAATTTAGGAAAAAAAATGTAGTATAAATTGCCCTTTTAAAAAATGCTTATTTTCACAGTTGTTAGGATTTTTTTTTTCTGCGACAGAGGAATGCATGTATATCTAAGAGTGGAATAGCTGGGTCATAGGGTGTTCTTTTCTTCTTTTTTGGTCAGAATTTCCAGAGTTACAGAAATTCAAAGTTTATCATATTCTCACCTCCCAGAGACAATTAAGTTTGATTTGTATTAATCCAGGTTTTCTTCTATAAATTTACTAACGTGTCACAAATGATAATATACTCTACATACTGTTTTGCCATTTGCCTTCTAACAATAATTGTTGTTACTAAATTTTTAAGTTTATTATCTGTGATAATTGGTTACTCAATTATTGACTGTAAGAATGCCTTATTAAATAGATAAAAATGTAATTTTATGTCAATTTTATTAACCTTCTAAGTCCTTAAAATGGTTAATTTTCTGGCAAGTGTCAGTATAAATATTTTAATTTACTTAACACAGTGTTTCCCAGTACACAGAAAAATTGCAACTGAGCGGGGGGGCGGGGGGGGGAGGTGTAAGTGAAAAGGGTGAAAGTGGCTTGGGTTTCCACAATTCTTTTTATATTTGTGGCGTTTGAATTGTGATAATTCAGCTACAATTGGTAAATCTACTCTAAGTTCATTAGAACGTCTCTGGATTGTGCCTACACTTTGTAATATGATGGCAGCTTCTCATCTCAGGTGGCCGGGTGGCAGTCAGGTTAAGAATGTGCTCCTCAGAACACCTGCAGATCTGATTGGTCACCGAAGGATTATGCTTGTGTCTAGTTCATTATTCAGTTTTATTGGGAATGTCACTGAGTTTTTACTAAAAGCATGAATCCTAGTCTCTGATTGGAAATCTCCGTGTGGATTTTTTTAAGCAGTAAGGCTAATTTAAAAGTATAACCATTGGTCTATTTAAAGAGCAATATTATACAAATAAAGTAAAATCTGAGGTATTCTGCTTTCTGGAGTAGTATAATGTCTAATGTGCAAACAGAATCTTTATTTTCCCCTAATCTGGTGGCAGCTTGTCAGGCAAATCATTATATTCTAAGGTCTGTAATCTCAACAGATCTCGTCTTATATTGAAATAAGAATAACTGAGCTGCATTTTCTCTACCCAAGTTGAATAAACTATACAATACTGGTGTTGCTAGATATTAAAGAAGATGCATTCTTTTAATACCTTCATTGTAATTATGTTGGTGAAATCGGTCTGTTTCTAGGTTTGGGAATTAATCCTCTTGAGTTTCTTATACTAAAAACCAGTACTTTGCCAGCTGAAGATCACCTTCCACTTTTATAAAGCATTTCACCAAATATCCTTTTCTATTCCAGCGAGACCAGGCAGAAGTTTCTCCATGGAGTATAGGCAATTTTCAGGAACGGAAAAGAGACATTCTTCTCTGGAGGATTTTCTCTGACCAAAGTGGCATCACAGAATAGATATCCTTAATGAGAACTGGCAAATAGGAAAACACTGGACATAGATGTTATCATGCAAAGGAGTGTGCTGTGGTGTGTTGTTTGCCACCCTTAATGTGAAGTACTAGTTTTAATAGCTAATCAAATAATGGTAGGATAAATTATGTTATGCTAGGGGAAAAAAAAAAGCGATTCAAAAGAACCTAACCGTCAGATTTGTTTTGGAAACACTGGTAACCAAAGGAGCATAAATGTTAATGTCTCAGTCTTCTCTCCTTCATCAGTAGTGTGGGCAATCCAAATAAAATGACCCTGTTTTTCAGATGTTTCCACTAATTGTTTGGGAAAACAAAATTGTTTTCCATTTGTTCTTCTGGGAACAAAAAATGGAGCTGTCTTTCTTCAAACTGTGTAAATGGTCAAATTGCGTTTTTGTTTTTTAAACAGTCTTGTTTCCTGAGCTGAGAACTCATTACCAGACTTACCCTGCAGTATGTTTTGTCTGCTAAATTAAAGCAAATCAAAACAAAACAACAACAAAAAGCCTGCTATAACCTGCGTTTAGGTTTTTAGCAGTAAGGAACTACCTGTGACAGATGCTTAGCCATTGTCATGTGAACAACTTTGTTGTAATAAACATAAACAGGAGTTGCAGTGGGGGAACCATGGGAACTGATTGATCAGACTTTAAGGAGAGTCATTTACCATAAGCACCAGGACTGTTTAGGGAGTGTCTGCTCAGGATGTTGAAAAGCTTTAAGTGTGTGATGGCTGTGAACGTTCAGAGGGTGCTGCGACTCCCTAGTACCTGATGCCAGGTTTTATAGCAGCTTACATTTTAGTTACAGTGGCTTTCCCTTGATGTCTCTCTTGTTACCTATTTTCCTAAATAATTTTTTTCTTTTAAGGGAATCATCATATAGGAGTGGGGAAAAACAGACTTCAATGTTGAAACAAAGTTTTGTGAAGGAGATTTAATGCCTTGCTTAGGAATATGAGTGGTTATAATTAATTCAGTGTTCAATAGGGTCTTGAGCAGTGCTGCCAAGGATAAAAATGACTTTTGCATGTATTTTATGGAATGTGTGTAATTAGCCTTATCTTCTACTTGTGTTCGTAACCCATGTGAATAAACTCCAGTACTACTTGTAGAACTTTATTGCTTGACATCTGACTTTGCAATTGCAGTTTTCTCTGTGCTTTTGAATTGAAGAATATTTTAAGCAGAATCCCTGGAAGTCAGAGAGAAAAAAGTTAAACATAAGCCTAATCAAAATCCCAAGATGATTTGGAAGATGGTTTGTTTTGTTTTCAGGGCAAGGTTTTTTTGTTCTTTCAGCTCTCTGAAGTGAGACTGATGATCTTAGGGTGTCAATATTCATCGTTCTTGTTTCCTTGACTGTGGGAAATTTATTAATCAGGTTGAGTAAAATATGAATTCTGCCCTGAGGGCTTTCCTACATAGTGGAAAAGCTGTGATTTATAAAGACACGGTGTAATGAACTAAAGTGATAATGAAAAGCCTTGGGCAGACTTGCTGTGTAATATATTTTAGGCAATTTACACAGGTTAGTTTGTTTAATTATTTTTGTTCTTGTCAGAATTGTCCTTTCTAATAGTAGGATCCCTCAAACTGCACTTGCTGCTGGTGAAAGTAGGCTCCAATTTTTTCTTAAAGTCCAAACCATTCCTTTAAAGGTTAACAGATGTTTACTCTCCACTTAAGTCACTGAAAGGTGATATTTAAGTATAGTCTTAACTAGTTACTTTCCTCTTTGCCTTTAAACACTGCATTAAGTGCAAGTATATATGCATCCCTGTGGGGCTTTGACCAAAGCACACACCCATACCCCTTCCTGCCTCCCTGGAACTGGTTCAAGATTTGGAAAGAAGAGTTTGCTTGTGGGTGTTTCCCTTGTCTTATCTCTGAGTGAGCATATGCCAGGGTTGAATTTATTTTGACCCTTTCATTTTAAATTTGGAACCGAAGTAAAAGTTTAAAGTGCAACAGGAGAAGAGAGTCTGCTGAACTTTAGACATGAGGGATCCAGGGAGGAAGGTGCGTAAATACAACCTGAAGCTTTCTCTAGAGGCTTTCTCATACAAGTGACTGTTTTTACACATGTACATTATTGTAAACTAATAACTACTACTCAAAGGAATATTTAAAGCTATATGAAAATGTATGGGGCACTTATATCATGTTTATGTGCCTAATTTTAGTAGCTGTGCCTCTGGTATTTCACACTTTTTACATTAATAGAAGAATAAGTAAATTCTGAATTTTTATTTGAAAGCCTTTTAGGAAAGCTTAGGCTGGGTATCTGCAAGGCGAAAAATATCATGTGTGATTGATCTTCAAGGGAATGATGAAAAAGTATATAGGTATTTTCTATAGCATCAAATAAAGAGACCTATAAATGGTTATTAGGTAAAGGTTACCCAGGTCCTCCTCAGAGTACAGAATCAGTTGTTTCTTTACTGATTATTATTTATGTTTGTTCGTTAATTTTAAGTACAGTTGCTTGCATTTATAGTAGGCTGAACTGATTTTTTTTGTGACTGATCTTTTCCAGAGCCTGGCCCAACTAGAGAATCTGTGCAAACAGCTGTATGAAACCACAGATACAACCACTCGACTCCAGGCAGAGAAAGCCTTGGTTGAATTTACCAACAGCCCTGATTGCCTGAGCAAGTGCCAGCTACTCCTCGAAAGAGGAAGTGTGCGTAAGATCTGAAAATCCTAAAGGATAACGGGCGCTTAGGAAACTTTATTCTGGTTCTCTGTGTAGGGATGGCTTGGGATAGCTTCTGTTCCCTTATTTTTCTAGGTGTCCCTGACTTATTTTCACTTTTAAAAAGCACCATAGCTGTCAGGTTGGCAAAATGGCCATACACACAGCCTCATCAAGAAAATCTCTTTGAACATGTATTTCTGTTCTGTAATTTTTCATCCTAAATTTCCAGAACTTGTTTTCTGCTTTTACATTTAAGTGCCACATCCTATCCTTTCCAGAATAAGATAGTTGTAGATAAATGACCATTTTAATCCTAAGTCCTGGTACAAGATCCTCACTCTTCTCTGTGTTTTACATCCTCTCTGCCATGGCTACTGTTTATTGCCTTACAAGTCCAGGAAAAGTGACCTTGACAGTGAAATTACAGGAGACTGTAGGATTTTAAATGGGATTAGAACCTCCTCCAGCTTAAAAATGGCATTGCAATGATCACAATAATGTTTCTAATGAGGTTTAATTTGATAAAAATCACTGTCCTTGGCAACATGACCACAGTCCTACGAAAAGGCATCCTGAGAGGCAGATCCCAGCCAGACTTCAGCAGCAAGCACTGGGCTTCATTCAACAAAGTGGCAACGTGAAATGCAGTCCTCATATTTTTCCTGATGCTCAAACAGCTTCCCAGTCGTGCTTACCTATATTACCCTCTTTCATATATGAAAGGGAAAACACCAAGAAAAGGCATATATATTAGCCCTCATTCTTGTATGTGTGGAAAAGGTGAAAATAGAAAAGATCATGCCATGTGGTATTCTGAACAACAGTAATCCCTAAAGAACTGGTTAATCAAAATTTGCTTTCCAAAAAGTAGCCTTAATACTGCAACAAAATGTAAAAAAAAACGTTAAATAGTAGAGAGGATACAATTCTAGGTGACTTTATTTTTTATTTTTTATTAATATTGTTTATACAATAAATAGAACAAATTATAATTGGTTGAAATTATCACTTAGAGGCAGAGGGATGTGAATTTTCCCTCAAATATCTGAATGATACAAAGTCATGGTCAGAGATTGTGTGGTAGTCTAAGTTTTATGCGTATAGTGTTTCATATATTTCTCTTAAATCACTTGGTGTTTGGATTGATGCACTTGTATTTGTCCTGGTGGGAGATGCCCAGCTTGCTCTGCCAGCTGACTCCTGCTGGAGTGACAGTATAGTCTCTCTCACCACTAATCTTAAATGTTTATACCTGGTAGTATTATGTAATATTACCATAAAGGATAGCCCGAAGGACTACCATCTTTTTATTTTATTTATTTATTTATTTATTTATTTATTTATTTATTTTTATTTAAAACAGGGTTTCACCGTGTTGGTCAGGCTGGTCTTGAACTCCTGACCTCAGGTGATCTGCCCACCTTGGCCTCCAAAGTGCTTGGATTGTAGGTGTGAGCCATCACGCCTGGCCAGGACTACCATCTTCAGGACTTTGTGTTTCATAGAAAATTGTCCTTGACCCTTGATTAAAATATTTTAATGGTCTGAGCCTGTCCCTGTTTTATGGCATCATATTATAATACAGCCACATGGAGGAATTCTTCCATGCCTTTTTATGCATTGTGATCGAGTGGAATGCTTTGATTCTCCATAAGTTTCAGACTTGTTAAAGCAACATTTGAGAATGTGATAAACCTATTCCATTGCTTAATATTTCTTTTTTTCCCTAATATCATGCCATGAAATATTTTGAGGTGATATTGAAATATCATTATACAGATAGTAAGGGGAGATTTCTTGGTTTAAATGAGGGGAGAGGTTTTTTTTTTCCTATCTCTTTCTGAAAAGATGCCCTCTAGTGTCTGTCCCTCAGAGTGAAGCAGATATTTGTATTAGATTCAGATTGATCATGCCGTTCACCTTGTCTTGCCTGTTGTTCATTGTTGAAGTCAGCTAAATAAACTTATGCCGTGTTGTTCATTTTTCCTCAGAGCGATAGACCCTCTAAAAATCCAGAGGATCAAGTATGCCAAAACTGATTGCCTTTTCTTGAATCTGAGCACAAATCTCCAAGTAAAAAACCTTGTGACTGGCTTGCCGAATACAATTTTAAGTCCTTTTTCCCTCTCTTTTCACAGTCCTCTTACTCCCAGTTACTGGCAGCTACATGCCTTACCAAGCTTGTATCACGCACAAACAACCCCCTACCATTGGAACAGCGAATAGATATCCGTAAGTGGAGAATTTTCTGTTCTGTCTTGAAGAAAATAGTTTGTTTAGTGATGCACTAGTAATAGTCAAGTGTATGTGTTTGTTCAATGACATGCTGAGATTGCTAACCATACAGAATGTCTAGAATCCAATTTGTTTCCAGAATTTTGAGCTTATGAAAGTGAAGGGCCCAACACAATTAATTCTAGATAAAGCTCTTTACTGCCACTAATAACTAAGAAAAACATTGTTAACAATTTTGAATTCTGTGTAGACCACATTATTTAGTTACCCAGGGATAGAGTCAAGGCCACTATACTGCAAATTCTTCATGTGACAAAATAAAATTCTGAATTAGAACACTTACTAATCTTAAATTTGAGGTCTCAGTAGCAGAAATAATTAATACAGTTTGTGTTGAATAGTCTGCATTTATAGCTTCCTGGCCATGGTCTAAAGATACATGCCCTTCTCTGGCAGAGCTTTCTGTTACATGGATTGTTTTTTGTTTGTGTTTTTTTTAATAGGGAATTATGTGCTCAATTACCTTGCCACTCGGCCAAAGTTGGCTACTTTCGTGACACAAGCACTTATTCAGTTATATGCCAGAATCACAAAACTGGGCTGGTTTGACTGTCAGAAGGATGACTATGTCTTCAGAAATGCAATCACAGACGTCACAAGGTTTTTACAGGTACAGTGTATATATTTGATGTAATGGGAATGGGAGAACCAGCATGTGTGTACACACACACACACACTTACATGCTTATCTACTTTTAAAACATGATACAAAATGAAATTATTTGATATATTCTCTTTTGCACGTTTTTACCCTTAATATGTCTTGGCAGTATTTGCGTGTTGGCAAAAACAACCCGTGCCTCATCCTTTCAAATTCCTCTATATTCTTTCTTTCTTTCTTTATCTCTCTCCCTCTCTCCCCCCCTTCTCTCTCTCTCACTCTCTCCCCCCCTTCCTCCCTCCCTCCCTCCCTCTCACTCCCCCCTCTCTTCTTTCTTTTCTTCTTTTTTTTTGACTGTTAAATTAATACTTCAGTGAATAGCCCAGTACATATATTTTTGAATAAGTATGTTTGTAGGGTCAATGCCTAGCCTTGGAAAGATATCTCCAAGTTATCCTCAAAAAAGCTATACAACTTGCCCTTCATAATGATGGTTTGGTCAACAGTAGACCACATACACAACAGCGGTCCCATAAAATTATAATGGAGCTGACAAAGGAGCCTAGTGACGTGGAGCTGTCTTAATGTCGTAGCACAATTTATTAAGCAAAGTTAGTGTAGCTTAAATGTACGTATTTATAAAGTCTGTAGTGGTGTACAGCAATGTCCTAGGCCTTCACATTCACCCACCACTCTCTCACTGACTCACCTAGAACAACTTCCAATCCTGCAAGCTCTGTTCACAGTGAGTGCCCTATACAGGTGTAGCTTTTTTTTTGAGACGGAGTTTCGCTGCTGTTGCCCAGACTGGAGTGCCATGGCACGATCACGGCTCACCGTGACCTCCGCCTCCTGGGTTCAAGTAATTCTCCTGCCTCAACCTCCCGAGTAGCTGGGACTACAGGCACGCACCATCATGCCCAGCTAATTTTTGTATTTTTAGTAGAGACGAGGTTTCACCTTGTTGACCAGGATGGTCTCGATCTCTTGACCTCGTGATCCACCCGCCTCAGCCTCCCAAAGTGCTGGGATTACAGGCTTGAGCCACCACGCCCGGCCTACAGATGTAGCTTTTAACAAAAAATATTTTATACTCTATTTTTACTTTATCTTTGCTATGTTTAGATACTAGGACAGTCACTGGCTATACAAGTTTGTGCCTAGGAACAATAGCCTATACCATATAGCCTAGGTGGTAGACTGTACCTAGGTAGACTGTACCATTAGGTTTATGTAAGTACACTCTATGATATTAGCACAACAATGAAATTACCTAATAACACATTTCTTAGGATGTGTTGCCGTTATTAAGTGACTCATGACTGTATCTACTTGATACTTACACCAAGAGTTTATAAGAGGACCTGCTTTCTTATACCTCAGCCCTGGAAGCTAAACTTCAAGTTTTCCAATTTAGTAGGTTAAAAAAATTGGTGTCACATTGTTTGGGTTATGAGTGAGACTGGACAGATTTTCAGATATGTATTTGTTGCTTATATTTGTTTTTCTGTGAACTTCTGTGTATACCTTAAGCACATTTCCTTAGCTGCTTTGCCTTTTGCTTATTGTTATATACAGTCTCTTTGTAAAGTGTGTTGCTTACTTGTCATTTGGCTTAGTAAATGTATTTTGCAGTTTACCTTTTTAAAATGTATATGCTATAATGCTTATGGGAATTTTTTTAATGTAAAAGTTTTAAATTTTGATGAAGTCAGATTTGTGAGTCCTCCTTTGTGGTAACAGGTTTTATGTCTGGCAAAACAAGAGTTTTAAACCATGATTCCTTGCTGCCTTGTCTAGGCAGTTTCATTACGGGCACAGGAACCCATCATTCAAAAGTATGAGTGCGTTCCAGATGCCAAAACCAAGCACACATGACAACTCTTTCTACCCTATGCTTTTTTTTACCCAGGATAGTGTTGAATACTGCATCATTGGCGTCACAATTTTATCTCAGCTAACCAATGAAATTAATCAAGTAAGTGCTACAGCCTTCCTCATTGAAGTAAGTGCCATATTTTTTCTTAGTATTCGTGTTTTCTGCTGTGTGTGGGATGATCTTTTTTGGCAGTTGTATGCTTTTGCGGTAAGTGATTAATGCCCTTTTGAAACAAAACAGTTCCATTGGGTTTTCCTCTGTAAGTGCAACTCACCTCACTTTTTGTTCTGTTCCCCTTCTGTCTCCAGGATATTTTCCCCTTGCACCTTAGCTTTTTTTGTTGGTATTAATTTTCATTATAGAGATAAAAGCAATCAAAATCATAATGAAATACTGCCTTGCCCATAAAAGAGAATGACTTCAAAGAAGGGGCTGGGCACTGTGGCTCACACCTGTAATCCCAGCACTTTGGGAGGCGGAGACGGGTGGATCATGAGGTCAGGAGTTCGAAAGCAGCCTGACCAACATAGCAAAACCCTGTCTTTACTAAAAATACATAAATTAGCTGGACGTGGTGGCGGCCGCCTGTAATCGCAGCTACTCAGGAAGCTGAGGCAGGAGAATTGCTTGAACCCGGAAGGTGGAGGTTGCGGTGAGCCGAGATGTCGCCATACTCCAGCCTCGGCAACAGAGTGAGACTCTGTCTCCAAAAAAGAAAAAAAGAACCATAAAAGTGGACCTTTTGTGTGCCCCTTCTGCCCCTCAATACCTTGAATTTTTAAAATAGTCATTGACGTGACAGAGGACTACAGAGGAAACACCAGTGGCTTTCTTTTGCTCTGGCTATATTTTAGTCATTTACTTTTATGCAGCTAAAATTTTGTGATTATAGAATAGACCCGTATCAACATTAGTTATAACATCTTACCCAAGTAAGTTGGCAGCATATTAATTATATTAGCATTACTGTTGCTATTGCTCATAATTATGCAGACATTTTTATTAACCTTCAGAAATCTTAACTGTGAGTTGATCCCATTTCAAATGTGTTAGCTTATAGCCTGTGAAAACTTGGAGTCCATGTTGTGTTCTCTAGCCATGTGCAATCCCCATTGTGATCTGTAATTACCAAAATAATAACAGCTTACACTTTTGAGTGATTACTGTTAACTACTATTCTAAGCACGTACAGTAAATAATTTTAAATAATTTTGGTGAGGTCTGGATCTGGACTATTAGTATGTAACCATCACCCAGATAATATTCTCAGAACAGTCATATGAGGTAGGTACTGTGCTTATCCCATTTTATGGATCAGGAAACTGAGGCACATAAAGGTGAAATTACTTGCCTAAGGTTTCACAAGCAACAGTGCGTGAATTGAACCCAGATAGTCTTATTCTAGGGCTTGTGTTCTTAACAATAATGTACTATTTAACCACCCTTAAAAAAACCTTCATAGTAGAAGAGCAGATGCATTAACTGAGGATAGAGATTGTGGGCTTAATCTTTTCCCCTTTGAAGCTTGGCCCCACATAGTACATCAATTTATATATATATATAAAAGACTTTTTCAAGATTTTACTTTTCTTGAGAAAATGATGAAATTGTGTAGACCATTTAGTGTGTAGTCATTCTGTGCATTATGGTCAGTATAACAGATTATATGAGAAATAATCAGCAATATCTTTATTATCTAAGACACATGATAACACAATGACAGAAGCAAGAATTGGAGAATATTTTCAGCCTTTAAATCATTTGAATTTTTCATTGTTTTGTGGTTGTCAGGTTCAAAAAAGAAAATATATTTCTGTCATTCTTACCTAGAACCTAGAAATAAAATTAAGGAAGACTTGATTGTCAACGATCTTGCTGCTTTACACTTTAATGTGGCAAAAACAAAAGGGTCTCCTCTTGGATGAATTGATCAGTAAATAGGAGAGATTTAAGCTTTCAGTAAGTGATTAGACTGAAAATACTCCTGACAACCTTGAAATTATTTTATTCCACATATTGAGTACCTACTGTGTGTTAGAACTAGGAGCATACTAAAGAAGTAAAAGATTGAGTTCTTGCCGGTTGCAGTGGCTCACGCCTTTAATCCCAGCACTTTGTGAGGCCGAAGCGGGCAGATCACGAGATCGGGAGTTTGAGACCAGCCTGACCAACATGGTGAAACCCCTCTCTACTAAAAATACAAAAATTAACCGGGTATGGTGGTGCATGCCTGTAATTCCAGCTACTCAGGAGGCTGAGGCAGGAGAATCACTTGAACCCAGGAGGCAGAGGTTGCAGTGAGCCGAGATCATGCCATTGCACTCCAGCCTGGGTGACAGAGTGAGACACTGTCCCAAAGAAAAAAGAAGATTTAGTTCTTAGCCACAAAAACATTTATAATTTAGCTGAAAAGACAAGAACAGCGAAATAAGTAAGAGACCAGTACAACCATTTAAATTGTTTTCACTTCTGGTGTATAGGCAATATGTTGAAATAGGTTAGAAAAGGAGGTGAATATTACGGGCTGCTGTCATTTGGAAATTCTGCAGTAACTTCAGCTTTGAGGGTTTTTTGAGTTTTGCTTACCAAAATCAAAGCCTGTTACCCTGTGGGTGTTTAAGAGACAGGATCTCACTCTGCTGCCCAGGCTGGAGTGCAGTGGTGCAATCTTAGCTCACTGCAGCTGTGAATGCCTGGGCTCAAGGCCCTCCTGAGTAGCTGCGCCTTAGAGGCATGCACCACCACACCAATTTTTTTTTAAAAGTTTTTAGAGGTAGCTGGGGAGTCTCACTGTGTCTGCTCCTGGGCTCAAATGATCCTCCTGTCTCAGCCTCCCAAAGTTCTAGGAGTTACAGGGGTGAGTCACCACGCCTGGCCCATTAAGCCACAGTACAACATGAAAGTAATTATTAGTAATGTCTGCCAACAATTTAGGTTTTATCTCCTGAATACAGAGGAAAATAAGAATTTGCAGCAGAGATATCCATCCTTTTGTTTTCCCTCTGTAAGCTAGAAAGAAAGGATATCGTGGCTATTAGCAGTTTATATCCTCCATCCTTTCACTAGATATGGTTTCACAGTAATTTAAATGTCAAAAATGTATTTTATGTTTATGTTGTTCTTATTGGAAATCCCAGCTTATTTGAAGTCTGCATGAAAAATTCTTTTTTTTGTAATTAATTCTTTGCATTGGTTTCTTCTTTGTCTGCACAGGCAGACACCACTCATCCTTTAACCAAGCACAGAAAAATAGCCTCCTCTTTTCGCGATTCATCATTATTTGATATCTTCACACTTTCCTGCAACTTACTAAAACAGGTGAGCATGTATCTTGGGTCATGTTTCCCAGTTTCTTTTGAAAGAATGAGAATGGATGGCAACTTGTTAAATGTCAGTTTTTAACTGACACTGTGAGAATTTAGACATCTCTTTAATCTTCATCTCTTACTTAAGACTCAGAGGTGTTGAAGGAACTGGTCAGAGTGACCACTGAGGTTGGAGAAATGATGGTCACTTTTCTGTTTCAGATCAATTCCCCTAGGTAAAGAGCAGTAAGTAAGTGCTTATCCCATACTCCTTAAAGGAATCTAGTTTGCCTAACTCAGAGTTTGAAGTTCTGTTGTTGTTTTTATAACCACATAAAATCTTTCTACATGGTGTGAAAGCATCTTAGTTTTACAGTGTTTGGATTCTTAGTGCTCTGAAAGCAGGTTCAGACTACATTGTTAGCATACAGAAACCAGGCTGGTTCCCCTGCCCCCTGCTGAGTTAAAGGCAGCACATAAACAAGCAACATCTGTAAGGAAAAGTAGATTTTGAATTTTTAACATCCATTTAGATTTAATAACCTGGAGGGTAGTCAGTATCACAAGGAAATTACCTGTGTTAAAGTCGAAAGTTGGTGTTTCAGTTCATTTATTGATAGAGCTGAACTGAGAAAGAAGTGTTAAGCTGAGAGTTCCACACAGCTGCAACCCAGCTTGGGTGCTTTGTCCTATAGAAAACTAAATCGGGTTCGCCTCTGGCTTTTTGTTCATTTTTGTGGTTTTGTTCTCATTTTCCAACATTTCCCAGTTTTAGTTTTAGAAGCCAGTTTGTATTCTTTCTGTTATTCCAGTTAATGATACTCATCTTTTTCCTCAATTATGTAGTTTTACCTTAGAATTCCCAGATAATCCTCGGGTTAAGCAAAGCTGCCCGGCAAAAGCTGTTACACCCCCTGGAGGGGAAAAGGTTTTGAGAAAACTAAGGATTGAATTCTTACTGATACCATCAGGAACAAATAATTAGCCAGCCAGTCATGAAGACTCAGCTGGTATAACCTTGCAATGGGACAGGCACAGTAGCTATGGACAGTACTCACCTGTAGTCTGTAGGTACATTGCAGATGAGTAAATAAAATTGAGTGATGATTTTAATTCTGGTTTGAAAGATTTTTGGTGATGATGGCGGTGAAAAAGAGGAAAGAAAGTATGGCAGGGTATTAAGCGTCCTCAGAGGTCCCTCCACAGTTTAACCCCATTCCTGTCTAGAAATAACTAGGTTCTCACATGCCAGTAAAATGACCACAGGAGCCATATTGCCTCAATTCTCTGTGGCCATTATGTCTACATTGTGTGAGGAATAAGTGTTTAAAAGGGGCTTTCTTTAAATACCAACTTCATGTTTTTATAGTAAACATATTTTCATAGTGTAGAAGGAACCAGGTATTTTTATAGTAACATTGAGGTGATAGAAGTACTGTGTCTTTGGAGAGAAGGGAACATTTTACTGTGCTGAAATACAGTCCTCCTTTTCTGGCTTAATAGGCTTGTCGATCAGGGAGCAAGCTGGGAAGAGAGGAGTGATTTTGGGGGGCTCATTATGTGGTAATTTTTACAGGCTTCAGGAAAGAATCTAAACTTGAATGATGAAAGTCAGCATGGCTTGCTCATGCAATTGCTCAAGCTCACTCATAACTGCCTCAACTTTGACTTCATCGGCACTTCAACTGATGAGTCCTCAGATGACCTGTGTACAGTGCAGATTCCCACCAGCTGGAGATCAGGTAACAGAACTTCCTCCATCTCAAAGGCTGTCACTCCCCTACAGAGTGTCTGTAGGATGATCTAAAGAATTCCTGTGTATTCTGAGGGAGAACTGAGAAAAAAATTCTTCTTTTTTTTTTTTTTTTTAAACAGGGTCTCACTCTGTCACCCAGGCTGGGGTACAGTGGCACGATCACAGCTCACTGCAGCCACAACCTCCTGGGCTCAAGCAGTCTTCCCATCTCAGCCTCCCAAGTAGCTAGAACTATAGGCACATGCCACCACACCCAGCTAATTTTATTTATTTATGTTTTGTAGAAGTGGGGGTCTCACTATGTTGCCCAAGCTCATCTTGAACTCCCGGGCTCAAGTGATCCGCCCACCTTGGCCTCCCAGTGGTAGGACTACAGGTGTGAGCCACCGTGCCCAGCCAGTCACATCTGTTTTATAATATGGGGAAGGTTGTTGGAGTAATAGACCTCCCAGTGTCAAAGAACCTTTAAAATTGCTGATTAATAATAGATACGTATTTTACCTTCTTGCATTAACTGCCTAGAGACTTCTTTAATCTATTTAGGATAATATATATCTTTAAAAACAAAATCAAACAGAACAACTTGTTTTTATGTTTGTCTTTGTGTTCCAGAAGGATGAAGGTTTTAAATTATTTTTATGGACAGAGGTGTTTGGATTGCCTTAAATTCTCTGAGAATCGAAAAGAAGAATCTGTTTCTTAGAGAAGCTAATAATACTTTCAAAAAGAGAAAAGAAAAAGGGAAACCAAAAAGCCCCTATTTGCTTATCACTTCCAAATGAAATAAATATTCTGTAAGCTAAGTAGGCAGAAGGATATGCTCCCTGATGTATAGTGCCAGAAGTATGCCAGCAGCAATGTGCATGCCTAATAAAGTGATGTCTTTTGTCTTTTTCTTCCCCAGCATTCTTAGATTCTTCAACTCTGCAGCTGTTTTTTGACCTGTATCATTCCATCCCTCCTTCATTTTCACCTCTGGTGAGTCAGGACCACTGTTTCTTAATGCAAACCTATTTCTAGAAGATAGCAATGGTGAATGAGCCTTATGTTCATTTGTTTTATAAAATCATAGAAGTAAGGCATAGGCCGGGCGCGGTGGCTCAAGCCTGTAATCCCAGCACTTTGGGAGGCCGAGGCGGGTGGATCACGAGGTCAAGAGATCGAGACCATCCTGGTCAACATGGTGAAACCCTGTCTCTACTAAAAATACAAAAAATTAGCTGGGCATGGTGGCGCGTGCCTGTAATCCCAGCTGCTGGGGAGGCTGAGGCAGGAGAATTGCCTGAACCCAGGAGGCGGAGGTTGCGGTGAGCCGAGATCGCACCATTGCACTCCAGCCTGGGTAACAAGAGCGAAACTCCGTCTCAAAAAAAAAAAAGTAAGGCATAGAAATACTAGGCTAGTTATCTAGTCTTTTGAGATTAAGCTTGTAGCCTAAAGGTTCTAGCCATAAAGTCTTAATTATTTTTAAATTATTCCTGTCTAAAGGCCAGTTCCTGCAGATGGTCAAGCTCTTCTGGGTCTCATCTTGTATCTGACTTCATGCTCTTCCTCAGATATCCACAGGCTAGCACATGGGGATTCACCTAATACTGTCTAGTTGAACTATTAAGATTGTCCTGGCTCAGAAAATCCCTCAGGCGTACATTAGATGGTGATAAATGGAATCTGTGATGGGAAGGCTAATTTGCATACTTACCCTGAATAACATTTGAAAGCTATTGGGAATGGTGTATTTCTCCTTTAAAGCCATAATTAACCTAAAATTTCAAAATTCATTCAGGTTCTAAAATGCTAGTAGTTTGGTATTTCAGATTGTTGGTGTAAAATACTGGTTGGTGTTGTACACAAAATATATAAAGAAAACACAGTGACATAATGAGTGGCATGCATAGTATTTGTGCAGTAGAGGACTTTTCTGGTTATTGTAGCACTTCTCCAAATTAATGTAGACCTTCGTTTTAGCTGAAACATGATTCATTGTTGTTGGGTATATTGTTAAGGTTACTTCAAGAAAAGGTAGCACAGTCAAGAGGGATAATTAAGAATGGACTACTTACAAAGGTGTGAGTAAAATTAAGCGACACCAACATGGGTGGCGGTGCATGCCCCTGGGGCTGGCAGTAGAGGAGAACCTCAAAGGGCAAGTGAAGGAAACCTGGAGAGAGCTGAAGCTGTGTTGTAGAGGAGGGCTGGACAAGAACTACAGCCATCAGTAGAGAAACTGCTGGCTGGTCACAGCCAGCTGGATGGCTGGAAGGGGAGAACCTCGTTCCTTCTACCCTCTGAACTGCTGCTGGTACTTTCCATTGGTTGAAGCTAACTAGAAGCCAGAGGGCAGGGGAGCTTGGCTGCTGTCCTCAACAGAGGCCAGCCTCCTAGGGAACAAGGCGGGGTGGAGAAGGGTGGAAAGGAGACCTAGAGGGACAGACAGAGAGTGTAAATATCTAACACAGCAAGAACAGGAAAATGTCTTCAGGGGTAAAGCTACTTTTTTTTTTTTTAGAGCCCAGATATGATATGCTTATTTCTTTATATCATGTAATGAAATAAGCATATCATATCTGCATGTCAAACTCATATTAGCCAGGAAAAATAAATCTAAAACTTTAAAGAACAAATTGCTTGGTATTTTCATGGGTGAAATATATATCTTAGCAAGAACAAAGATGTCGTTGGAGTGGTTAAAGGGAATTTGTACATAAGAAAATTTCCAAATTCTGAATTTAATGGGCTGCTATGGTCCGCTTGGATCTGTGCCCTTTTCTTTTTCTAAAATAATGTTGTTTCAGATATTTTAAAGAAGAGTATTGTAGGAGGGGGAATGTTTCTGGTGAAAATATCTGTACAATCTTTAATCATTGTATTTGGGTTTTCCCCTGCATTTAGGTATTATCCTGCTTGGTACAGATCGCCTCAGTCAGAAGATCCCTGTTTAACAACGCAGAGAGGGCCAAGTTTCTCTCTCATCTTGTAGATGGTGTTAAACGAATCCTGGAAAATCCACAGGTAAGTTTTTCTGAGAATGTACATACATATAGAATTAGTGTATGCCCAGCTGTTATGAGTCAGAAGGAAATCCATCCCGAGGCCCAGTAAACAATTCAGTCTGTTGTTCTTCAGGGAAGATTGATGTGAATCTCTATCCATAGGCCAATTCTGAGAGTATTTGCCCAAAAGAGGAGCTCATATCCTCCAGTTTCAGAAATGTAGGCGTTACGGGAAAGAATCACTTTGTTATAAGGGAATAAGGAAGAAGCTACTCATTTTTCCCCCAAGAAATTCATAACATTTGCTTTTTGATTTTGTTTACCTTTTTAAAAAAATGTTTATTGGTAACCTGAGTGTATAGGGCTGCTTTTAGGTGGGAAGGAAGATACTGTCTTTTAAATGTTCATGTCATAACTCCATTCCCCTTTTTGGCTTGAAGTCCCAGTGATTCAGCAGTTTTTGAAAGTATCACTTCTCTACACTAGAAGAAAATTTAAAAGCAGTTTATTTTAAAATATACTCAGTTTTGTCCCTCTTTTTAAAATTCATTCATTCATTCAACAAATTATATTGAGTACCTACTCTGTGCCAGGGATACACTGGTGAACAAAATAAGGTCTATGCCTGCATATGCTAACAGAGGAAGACATATACCAGGAAACATACAATTAAATATACTGGTAGAATAAATTTTAAAAATCTATAATATTTGTTATAACTCTGTCATGTAAACAACATATGAATAAAGTGATATAACTATATGAAACATTTGTATAACTTTGCTAACTATAGATTATTTGTGCTTAATGATCAGTTTGACAGATGGAGGATGAAAATTTAGATTTCCTTTGATTGGTAACAATCAATAAGCAAAGAAGCCAGTCACGTCTTAGAATGTGCCCACTTCTGCCGTAATGAGCTTTACAGCCTCAGTGTGATCCTTCTAGGCTTCTGTTTCAAACCTTGTCCATTGAGGCTAATAATCTCATCTCATCTCATGGGATAATTATTGAGAACATATCAGATGATAAATATTACTGTCCCTTTTTAAAGTGACTTTTTAAAAAATTGTTTCTGAATATTATACAGATGTATCATTCTGAATCATGACTTGTAGCCTAGAAGTTAAAAAGTAGATTTTACCCCATCCCCCATGCCATCCCAAGTATACATCATTCTTGAAGTACTGGTGAGTCATATTTTACATTTTATTTTTCTCTTGTGCTATTGCCAGAGCTTGTCAGACCCAAACAATTACCATGAGTTTTGCAGACTACTGGCCCGATTGAAGAGTAACTATCAATTGGGAGAATTGGTAAAGGTGGAAAACTACCCTGAAGTCATCCGATTGATAGCCAACTTCACAGTGACCAGCCTACAGGTTTGTCTTTGATTGCTTGTATCTTCCTTCCTAAATACTGGAATCTCTTCTCTTGCTTGTTGGCTTTTTTTTTTTTGGAGACAGAGTTTCGCTGTTGTTGCCCAGACTGGAGTGCAATGGCACGATCTCAGCTCACTGCAACCTCTGCCTCCTGGGTTCAAGCAATTCTCCTGCCTCAACCTCCCGAGTAGGTGGGACTACAGGCACGCACCATCATGCCCAGCTAATTTGTGTATTTTTAGTAGAGACAGGGTTTCACCTTGTTGACCAGGATGGTCTCTGTCTCTTGACCTCGTGATCCACCCGCCTCGGCCTCCCAAAGTGCTGGGATTATAGGCGTGAGCCACCACGCCCGGCCACTTGTTGGTTTTAACCATGTAAGAATATATATATTTTTTCTTGGCAAAGGTAAAAAGTATAGCCCTACAGAGTAGTTACTGTTGTGGCCCGTGAATTTACATTTATACAAGTGCAAGGATTGTGGGGAGAGGAACATGTGGGAATTAATAGGATAATATTTATACTCACACCAGAGAGAATTCCCTCAGAGTCACCCCAGAAAAGCCAAGGCTGGAACAGGGAGCCAGACAGAAGAGTAAAAAGAAAGTTAATTCCCTCTCTTTTTTAGTTGTGTAATAAAGAACAATGGGTCTCAAATTTTATGGCTTGTATCACAGTCATCTGGGAGACTGATGAAAAAATACAAGTTCTTGAGTCTTACCCCCATAATTTCTTGTTATAAGGGAATAAGGAAGATGCTACTCATTTTTCCCCCAGGAAGCTGTATTCACTAGGTCCATGGTAAAGCCCTGGTGTTTCTAATAACTTCTTCAGGTGATTCTCATGCATACTAATGGTTGAGAGCCGTGTGCATATGGCTTTCCTTGTGATATAAGGCTTACACAGCCAGCATATAGCACCTCTTCTCACTAGATGCTTAATCTTTGAGATACTAGTAAGCATGTTAAACTAGTTGCCATACACAGAACACCCCCACAAAAGTCTATCCTCTTTTTTAAAAAAAGAAAAAAGTACCTTCTGTGTCAATGGTGTAAGACTACTGTATAGATAAATGAAAAATATGCCTTCTGCTTTTCTACTTTTCATTAGCACTGGGAATTTGCCCCAAATAGTGTGCACTATCTTCTGAGCCTGTGGCAGCGGCTAGCAGCCTCTGTGCCATATGTCAAAGCCACAGAGCCTCACATGCTGGAAACTTACACTCCTGAGGTCACCAAAGCCTACATCACATCCCGGTTGGAATCTGTGCACATCATACTGAGGTAAGGAAGCTTAGCCTCATTCATTCCCCCACCAGTGGCCTGGGGTCACACTTCATAGAGATCAAACATCCCACTGGCATAAAGGTACTCGATGGGTGTCTCATTGGAGCTCCTACTGTTCATGGTTCTTTTTCCTTGTCAGCAGAGTAGCATGAGAGCATAAAGCCTGATAGGATAGCCTTGTGTCTTAAACATTCATATCCTATTCATATTCCCCCTTTCACTGTCCATAGTAATAGCTTCGAATACAGAGTATATTCATATAATATTTGTCCTTGCCACTGTTTTTCTTTAAATGTGAGAAACATTTATAAGATATAGATGATAAGAATTATAATGTGTAATTTATAGGCGCTTAATGTGAACTCCTAAAGAAATAAATGGATAAAGATTATACAATCTAGTTATCAACTCTAATTTCAGAGCTAGAGGACATAAGAATTCTAAGTCATTGATCACTGATTGCATTACCTTTACGTGTGATTTCTGTCTACATTGACTTAACTGAACCAGAAACCCGTAACTAAAGAAACATCAAGCCCCTTCAGAAATGACCTATATTAAATGAGGTTATCCCTGTTTATGTAGCTTTCTTGTGTATCTTTTTCATTGGCTGTTTTTCAAGAGACTTTACTTGGAGTCTGAGGGTCAGGGGCCTTTTAAAGTTAGATTCTTAATTTGCTTAGCTCCAAGTGCATTGAGTAGTCATGAGTTTTAGTCTTAACTGTTTATGACTTGAATCAGTTCAAAATCTGAGTATTCATGAAGTTCACCAGCAAGCCTTGTTCTTTCACCTCCATAGCTTCACCTCTTGAGGATTCAGCTGGCTTCAGTGAGGCATCATTGGAGAGTGGTTATATGTTTGTAGGCTCTGGGCCTGGATAGCCAGTTAGTAGCTGTGTACTCTTGGGCAAGTTTCTCCATTTCTGTATTTGTAAAATTAAAATAATAGCCTACTTCGTAAGGTTCTTACAAGGATTAAATTAATATGACCTGGTACAGTATGTAGCACATGGTAAGCACTCAGCTAGTTGTAGTGCTGCTGTTGACATTATACTGTAGTGTAACAACAGAAAAGCTCCTCCTTGGACAAGATGTTACAATCTAGGAGCCAGCAGATATGGCAAGACCTAGTACAGGTCCACAGTGCCTTGTTTGCAATTCCAAAGTCCAAGATGTGACAGAAGAAATTTCCTCATCAGTTTGGCATCAGAATTAACTTGTTTACAGAACTGGACAGGAGCTGGTATGAGACTATATATATAGATTTCTTAAAATCCTACATAGTATGACCATTTATAATATTCATACGTTTTGCTACAGGAACATTGAATTTGATGTGCCACAAAGCCCGCCAAGGGTTTTATGTGATACAGTAGAGGCATCCTACTGCCTTCCACCAATCTAAACATTTCTGAATTCCAAGACACATCTAGCCACAATGGCCTCCCACACAGGACTGTGTACTTGTCCCACGGTTTACTGTAGTCAAGAGCAAGCGAAAAACTAAGAGTCAAGAGATCAGAGAGGTGAGAAGGGCAAGACTTTGAGGTTGAAGGCAGAAAGACATTAAGAGATGAGAATTCAGATTGTAAGATTTGACACCAGCAAGCAGAATATACCTAAGGGAGACTGATGCTAGGGCGAAGACATCGGCCTTCTGACTTATTAAATATTCTTCCTTGGGAAAAAGTAATGTTGAGATGTAGGCCTCCACAGTTGGAAATGGTGGCTAACATGAAGAAGTCAGAGAGCTGATATTTTGGGGAAATCAGTAGGCATATTTTAAGAGTGCTGCCTTCCTTCTTCCCTTGGGAGTAGAGATGGCCTGGAAGATCCCCTGGAGGATACGGGACTGGTCCAGCAGCAGTTGGACCAACTGTCCACCATTGGGCGTTGTGAGTACGAGAAGACGTGTGCGCTCCTCGTGCAGTTGTTTGACCAGTCGGCCCAGTCCTACCAGGAGCTGCTACAGAGCGCCAGCGCAAGCCCAATGGACATTGCAGTGCAGGAGGGTGAGTGTGCAGCCTGCTGGGAACTCTAGAACTGTGAGGAGATGGTCTCCAGTACCCCTTCACTCATTGCCACCTCTTTCCTGCCTCCCCGCAAAAGGATTCTTTCATCATCACTTGCCCCTATATCCACAAGAATCTTTATGAATGAATGAATAAATCCCTCAAGGGACTAGGGAAGAAGAACTGAAATCACATCTGCAGTGAGACTTTGTTTTAAGAGATGAGGTCTTGCTATGTTGCCCACGCAGGCATTGCACTTCTAGGCTCAAATGATCCTCCTGCCTCAGCCTCCTGAAGTAGCTGGGACTACAGGCATGTGCCACCACACCTGGCTTCTGTCTGCTTTTTAATCCCCCACAGCGCAGCTGGGACCCAGCCGAGAGCTTTATGACTGCTAAATAAAGGCCCAGGGGAAACAGGGAGATAAGTTCAGATAGTAACCTGGACTTCCTGTTTTCAGCGGGCCTGGCTGGTGTTTTTAACATGGCACTGTGCCCAGCTTGGGGTGTTTTTAACTCTAAGGAAGTACTACACTCTAAAAGTAATGGCCTTGTCTGATACAGGAACATTGATTAACTAACGAATTTCCCCCTTAGTATTGCCCTTAACCAAAGCAGAAAAGTAACCATTCTCTGTAAGAAAAGTAAGGCTTTATGGTTTCACCATAGTGTTCTTAAGATTAAGGAAGTTTAGAGTGAGGAGTGTCTTCACAAAACCGTCACTGGAGGTGACACTAATGGGTCTGTCTCCTGCTGCAGGAAGGCTGACATGGTTGGTTTACATTATTGGAGCAGTGATCGGTGGCCGGGTTTCTTTTGCCAGCACTGATGAGCAAGACGCCATGGATGGTGAGCTTGTCTGTCGGTAAGTGCTCCGCACAGAAGCTCTCCACTCCGCCTCACTGGCATTTCTCCACTCCCCAATAGGGTCCTCTCCGCCTACAGAACATAATCTTAAGATGCTAACTGCCTGAGGCACAGCTTTCAAGCGTTTTATAAGTGCTGCAAGAACTGCCTATGATCTTTACTTAAAAAAAAAAAAAAAAACCAGCAATAATTTAGCAAGGAAATAATGGATACAGAATTAGGAAAACTAAAGCAGAGATTCTCTGTTAGATCTGTTTAAGGACAATATCTTGGAGTTAGTAAAACATGCACTGCTTTTGCACTGCTTTTGCAATCTCAAAATAAGTCTAAAAGGAAACTGTGGTTTTTTAAAGTTCACCAAAGATGGAGTTAATAGAGTTCCTACAGCCTTCCAAATCTCTTGGCCATACACTTGTCCACCTACAGGATTTCAACTTCTTTTGCATCTGTGCAATTTTCATTTTATCAAAAGCTTTTTTTTTTTTTTTTTTTGGAGATGGAGTCTTGCTTTGTCGCCTAGGCCAGAGTGCAGTGGCACTTGGCTCACTGCAACCTCTGCCTCCCGGGTTCAAGCGATTCTCCTGTCTCAGCCTCCCAAGTAGCTAGAATTATAGGTGCATGCCTCCATGCCTGGCTAAATTTTGTGTTTTTAGTAGAGATGGTGTTTCGCCATATTGGCCAGGCTGGTCTTGAGCTCCTGACCTCAGGTGATCCACCTGCCTCAGCCTCCAAAAGTGCTGGGATTACACGCATGAGCCAGTGAGCCACCATGCCTGTCCTTCAATATATGTATCTTCTGAAAATCCTCATTTGTCTCTTTGCACCCCCATTTTATCAGATGCCCATTTGCCCAGAGGCGCCTTAATCCTGACAAAAGTCTCCGTAGCATTTTCCCACTGGTGTTTTTTGAAGAGTTGAGCAAAGCTTTAATAAGAATGAAATCTAATGCCTTTCTGATTCTGCAGCCTAGTTCAGTACTCTGTGTCATATTATAAATTTAGTTTAAACAATGTCTTGCAGACTGGTTCTCAGCTTGAGTGTGGCAACACAGTGATTGAGTCTCATTCACTCATGGTATGTCACAAATAGTTAGCCATTCCCACGCTCAGATGTTAAATGACTCACTTATTATGACATCTGTATTCTCATTCACTTGCCTGCATTCCAATATCCTTTCTTTTGGGGAGAGGATACAGAGAAAAGGGATGAAGCCACAGGCAGCATTTCTGCTATTAATCCCTGGAAGTGTTTACCTACCTGTGAACATCATCCTTCATGTGTCTCCATTCCTTTCATGGCTCTGTGAGGAAGAAAAGATTGAAAACCCCTGGTCTAGTCCTGTCACATTTATATAGATGAACCTGGCTGCAGGAAATTGCTCTACCCAAGTACAAGCATACACAACCTGTACTTGTGTTGTGTAGAGTAACCAGGATGATAGCTTGTGTTGTCTAGAGTAACCAGGATGTCCTGCTGTTGAGAGAATGGTTGCTTCTCTTCCTCCAGGGTGCTCCAGCTGATGAACCTAACAGATTCTCGTCTGGCCCAGGCGGGTAATGAGAAGCTAGAGTTGGCCATGCTGAGCTTTTTTGAACAGTTTCGTAAGATCTACATTGGGGACCAAGTGCAGAAATCCTCTAAGGTAATGGCCTCTCAGTTGACGCCCCTTAGTTCTCACTTCTTACTCGTGGGATTGCTGATGGAGGGAAACAGTCGCTAATAATTCACATAATCTCCAGGTTTCAGGTAATAGGACAGTCCAAATGTTTTCTCTTAGTCTTTAAATTCTGGGAGATTCGTCAAAAAATTGGGCCCCCTTCTCAAGTGCTCCATGTGCTTAACAAATGGCCAGTCCAGGCATCTGTTGTTCTCCCACAAATGGGCAATTCTTAGTCTCCATACGTGAATTAATATTCAGAACAGCAGAAGATTTTGGCTTTTTGTAATTTCAGGATTTGAAAGGGACCAGTCAGATTGCTCAGCATCTGTCCAATAATACTTAAAAACTAGCTATCCTCGGCCGGGCGCGGTGGCTCAAGCCTGTAATCCCCGCACTGTGGGAGGCCGAGGCGGGTGGATCACGAGGTCAAGAGATCGAGACCATCCTGGTCAACATGGTGAAACCCCGTCTCTACTAAAAATACAAAAAATTAGCTGGGCATGGTGGCGCATGCCTGTAATCCCAGCGACTCAGGAGGCTGAGGCAGGAGAATTGCCTGAACCCGGGAGGCGGAGGTTGCTGTGAGCTGAGATCGCGCCATTGCACTCCAGCCTGGGTAGCAAGAGGGAAACTCCGTCTCAAAAAAAAAAAAAAAAAAAAAAACTAGCTATCCTTTCAGTAAATTTGTCTCTGGGATTCTTGTCCATTTTCTTCCACATCTTACCCCCGAGTGTGGACAAAAATAGTACCGGGGTGTGATTGTTCTAATTCATGTGTTCTGGTTACTTTCTCTTAACACCAGCTCTACCGCCGACTCTCAGAAGTTCTGGGCTTGAATGATGAGACCATGGTCCTAAGTGTCTTCATAGGAAAAATGTAAGTGTTTCAGCTTGCCACCAGCAAGAGTCCTTTGCAATCCTGTTGGAACTGTAAAATGTGATCTTGGCATTGTGCTGCCAGTGCCTGGTATTCCAGCATTGATCGTTTGCGTCAGAAAATTTGTGCATTTGAGTGTGTGACAAGCTGTGCTTAGAGATATGGCCCGGCCCCAGAGCATTCCAGGCTTGTACAGGCAAGGATTTAATTTTGTTCTTGCAGAATTTCCTCTTTAGCCTCTGGAATCACAGGTGAAACCCTGTCATGTCATTAGCAAAACAGACCTCCACCCCAGTAATTCCTGCTCAGCCTCTCACCCAATTGCTGTGCTCCAGGGATGCCCAGCATAGGCATTCGCTTTCTGTTGTTGATTTCCTCTAGTTATCTCCGCGAAGGGGAAAGCTCCACTTTAAAATGGGCTTATTCCTCCCAGGAAACATCACACCCTTTAAGAGTCTTGAGTTTCCAAAATCTACTGCTGCTGTTTGAACTGTCTTCAGAGTTGGAGCTCCTGATTGGCCCTTTTTTGGTTTTTTTACGTTATACCCCTTTGGTTACATTTTCCCCTTTTTAGGAGCTCAGTTTATTAAAGCACACGCTAGGAGCCAAATATATTACCCAGGGCTGTGTGCAAAGTGATATTTTGCCTCCTATCAACTGTTCCAACCCTAAACACTCATATCCATGAGCTGGTTAATAATTTAAGATGGAAAAAGCAAAGGAGGTCTAAAGGACTCTGCCAGCCAAGAATCCAGATGCAAGGGCTACTAGAATTCTGCAGCTGACAGTGGATGGTGCAGGTGCAGAATTATATACGTCTGCCTGTTATCACTGCCGCAGAAATCTCTTACCCTTGCTGCAGAAATCAGCCCTGGAGTGCCCCAGAATTCCAAGGGCCTGGGTATGGGCCAGTGTAGCTTTGGAACCAAGTAGTGAAGATTATCTGAAGGATAATTTTTCTAGTCAACCAAATGTAAGTACGGAGATTTCCTACCCATCTTTTTTTGTGGTCGTGATGTCTGTGAATTGGTGGTGCAGATGTGTGGTGACATTTGATGAATGACTTTCTTCTGCTCCCAGCCGTCAAGGAAACCAGCAAATCAAAAGGGTCTCCTGCTTTTTTTTTCTTTTTGTCCTCCAGCATTACCAACTTGAAGTACTGGGGCCGTTGTGAACCAATCACCTCCAAGACACTACAGCTTCTCAATGACCTCTCCATTGGATATCCTTTTCTAAGCTAGCTTCTGTGCACAAGAGAAACTGGCATGCCACAGTCTTAGAATCACGCCTCCTGCTCCTTGCACTTCAGTTTAGCTTTAGTGTGTACTCACTTATCTTCCATTTTCCTAGGAGTCACATAACGCTAGTGCCCACACAGAATATAGGAATAATTTCAGGCCCCAAAACTAAGCCGACACCCAACCTGAAAGTTTAGTACAGATTTATCCCTGTCTATTCCTTAGTTCCACAAGTACATAAAAGCCCATCTTACAGGTACACACTCTGTGTGATCAAGGCTTTAGTATCCTTAGTAGAGACAAAGTCCCTCTTAGTTTGTCCCATCAGCTGGTTGGTAGAAACATCCTGATTCCAGGCTTTGTGATAGAAGTAATGACTATACTTCCTCTTGACTTTAACTAGGTTTGCTATAAAGTTTGAATTGCTCTAGGGCAGCTTTTCACAACCAGAGGTCTGCAAGAAATGTATAAACTCTGTAAAATTATTAAAGTGACTGTTTTTCTCACTTCTCCAAATACTATATTTAGCTAATGCCATTCTAAATAGGAGAGAAGTTCATTCATTATACACAATATATGCCTCTTATGTAGAGCATTAGGGCCTAATTCTCTCTGGGAGCCCCTCCTGAGAGAAGTCCTTTTAGGATATTCATGATAATTGGGGAACCTGCTGGTTTTATCTGTTTTCTTACAGCTAGGAGTTTGATATAGGTGTTTTCTTATTAATTAAATAGTGCTTAGCAGAGTGCATTTTTCCATATTTGGCAGTGATATCTTCAAGTGGTTTTTAAAAAGTAAGATATTTGGGTAAACTGTCCTTTATTCTGAAAAACTTCCCTCTGTCCTAGAGTCTGAGTCTGCTTCATACTTTCCTTGACCTTCTTCCTTTGTCTTTACGTACAGTAGTGTAAGGAAGCTAGTGAAGCTTAGTGCGGTACAGTTCATGCTGAACAATCACACGGTGAGTGATTTTATCTTTTTTCCGGGCCCTCCTAGCACGTACACATACACTTTCTCAACACATAAAGGAGATATTTAAATGGAGGTCCCTGGTGTTGCTACCTTGCTGATTTCCACCACACTGCCAGATTACACTCACTGTTATCAGAGTGGCTCTTTGAGATCCAGATGATCTGAGTTATGGTGAAGTCACCTACTGCTACGCATACTGCAGATAAATTAGTAGTAGTAACAACAATACGCCCCCTTCAGAAAAAATAAACAAAATCTTCAGATCCTCAAGGAATGACTACATAGCCATTGCCTTGAAAGGGCTCAGTAATTCTCTGATTACTGGCTTGCATTCTGCCTCTAACTCGTGTTTTTACCATTTAACTTGTTTTCTTTTTTTCAATAGAGCGAGCACTTTTCATTTTTGGGTATTAACAATCAGTCCAACCTGACAGACATGCGGTGTCGGACTACCTTCTACACAGCACTTGGGCGTCTCCTCATGGTGGATTTAGGTACCGTAAGAAATCCTAGTGGCTCATGAAGTCGTCTGGCACTATTCTAAATTTTTATTTGAGGACAGAAAACTGGATGGGGGAAGGCTTTTCTGTTATTTCAACAGTAACAAAACTATCTGAAATAACAGTCTGATTTCACCAAGAACAGATCATGCTCTGAAGGTCCTTGTAACTGGAAGAGAATAACAATCTGCTTGTGAAGTTTTTATCTGATATGCAGTGGCTTAAAAATTCTCTTCATATTTCTTGGGTGTTAAATAAGGGAATTGAGATTCCTAAATGTATCTTGTTGGCCAGATAACTTGTCCACCCCACACTGAGGTGTAAACCCACTTGAAATGATCAAGAAAACTTTTTATTATCCAGTTTTCTAGCACAGATGAGCCAGAAGGGCTTAATCACTTTTGTAGCACTAGTGGTGGTATTAGCAGTTTTAGGTCAATTAATAACTAAAGCTCAGTGGTATTACTCTAATTTTGAGCTGTTTAAATTTAACCCTACTAAAATGACATGAAACTTTCTAGGTTTATGAAAGGTGACTTTAAATTAAGTGTGAATGAAGCCTCTGAACCCATTTGAAGTTTGAGTCTCATCTAGTTCTCACGCAGCAGCTTCAGTCCTTTCTCCACTGACTCTAATTCTCACCAAATCAAAATAAATAACGTAGTGCCTTATACACATATGAATCTCTGACACTGTGGCTCAGTGTCAACAAACCTAGCCTAGACTAGGTGATTTCTGTCATTTTGTAGTTTAATAATTCTGTTTCTGTATAAACATGTTATTCTTAAATTGCTACTAATACTTGTTGGGATAATAAAGGGACCCCCTGGAGTTCTCCTGGGTCTGCTCATCTTTCATTCCGTCTTCCCATGTATGCACAGCTTTGAATTCTTGTTATTGGAGTCACACCCTTGGATGTTTCTTTTACAGGAGAGGATGAAGATCAGTATGAGCAGTTCATGCTGCCACTCACAGCAGCATTTGAGGCTGTGGCCCAGATGTTTAGCACCAATAGTTTCAATGAGCAGGAGGCAAAGGTGAGTGAATGTTTCACCCAGTAATTAATCATCTTCTGGTTTAGGGCAGTCCCCAGTAGAAAATCGTGCTTGACTATAAACTATCCACTGCCTTAGCTTTTTATTTAATATCTTGGACTTCTGGGGTTTTGGAATTGCAAAACCAGTAGAGATTTGTAAACTTTTATTTGTATATGGCATTGTATTTACTTAAGTAGCTCTTAGGTTTTTTTTTAATCTAAGCTTCCAAATTTATTAGCATAAAATTGTTTACAGTTTTCTTACTGCCTTTTAATCTCAGTTTTATCTTTACGTCCCTTTTTCATTTTTAATACTGCTCATTAGTGACAAGTTGGGTTTTCCTTTTTTTTTTTGAGATGGAGTTTTGCTCTTGTTGTCCAGGCTGGAGTGTGATGACATGATCTCTGCTCACCACAACCTCTACGTCCTGGGTTCAAGTGATTCTTCTGCCTCAGCCTCCCGAGTAGCTGGGATTACAGGCGTGTGCCACCATGCTTGGCTAATTTTGTATTTTTAGTAGAGACAGGGTTTCTTCATGTTGGTCAGGCTGGTCTCAAACTCCCAACCTCAAGTTATCCACTCACTTTGGCCTCTCAGAGTGCTGAGTTTATAGGCGTGAGCCACCACACCTAGCCAGGTTTTCTTAAAATTGTGGTAAAAACCAAATTGTACCATCTTTACCATTTTTACATGTACGGTTTACTGATGTTAAGTCTTTCTTTCTTTTTTTGAGATAAAGTGTTGCTCTGTTGCCCAGGCTGGAGTGCAGTGGTGCTGTCTGAGCCCACTGCAACCTCTGCCTCCTGGGCTCAAGCGATTCTCCTGCCTCAGCTGCCCGAGTAGCTGGGATTATAGGTATGTGCCACCACGTCCAGCTATTTTTTGTATTTTTAGTAGAGAGGAGGTTTCACTATGTTGGCCAGGCTGGTCTCAAACTACTGACCTCTGGTGATCTGCCTGCCTTGGCCTCCGAAAATGCTGGAATTACAGGCGTGAACCACCACGCCTGGCCAATGTTAAGTATTTTTACATTGTTGTGAAATAAATCTTCAGACTCCACAATATTAAGATGGAACATTTTCGTTATTTAGTTCTTTGTGGTTTCTAATTTCCATTGAGATTTCTTCTTTGACACCTGAGTCATTTAGAAAGGTTTAAGAATTTCCATATATATCAGTTTTTGTTTTTGTTAGAGACAGAGTCTCACTCTATTGCCTAGGCTGGAGTACAGTGGCATGATCATGGCTCACTACAAGCCTTGAACTCCTGGGCTCAAGCAATCCTCCTGCCTCAGCTTCCCATGTAGCTGGGATTAATGTCCAGTAAATTTCCTTATATATGTAATTTTAAGTTCTTGTTTTTTAGCTGTTAGAATTGTCATTTCTTGATTGTTGCTTTCCTCATCTTTTTACTTTATATATACTGTTTTCTTGACTTGTATAGATCTCTGTGTCAAAAGTAGAAGACACCAGGATGTTACTATTGGTAGGACTTTTTACAGTATTCCTCAGGACACCAATGCTGAATGGTAGACCTACCAAATAGCCAGGGTATTGCCAGAAAAAAATGCCAGGCGTTACCTAACATTCTAAATTTCTCCTTTTTCATCTTTAGCCTTTCTTTCTCCATCTATAAATCAGCAGTGTAGGCAGAGAGCAACACCACTTAATACAACTCTCTCTCCCCTTTATATTTGTGTTTTAGGATCTGAGATAGGTACCATTCAAAGCTTCGATTATTGTGGAACATATTGGCAACTTTAGGCAAGAGTGTCAACCAATATCAAGGATTTAGGGATATCGGTGAATATCAGCCCTTTTCCCATCATGTGGTATTAGTTTCATATAAAGCAAGTAAAATTAACCAAAAGAATCACCTTGGTAATGGTCTACAACTGTCACCCACTTCGTAGCCATGTCCCATGTAGTCTTTTAAGAGATTGACCAAGTCTTGAACTGGAGTACTGAGAGCTTGTGGTATCAGCTTGAGAACTGTTTGCTTACAAGCAGGCTGTTAACAGAAGTGCTGACATTTTTGCCAAATGTGTTGAGATCTCCAAATGTGCAACCTTCTTGAGCATATTGATGACTACTAGATTTTGTTGTTGTTGTTCTTGTTGTTCTGTCTTCACGTTTGGAGACAAACCCCAAACTATAAATTTTAAAGCAGTTTTATTGCTGTTCATGCCACAAGTAAAAGTTCTGTTGAGAGAGTGAGTATTGGATTTGGGGTCTTGGTGCAATGTATGAGTCTTGATCTGGGCCCTCCTGCTACCTAGCAACATGACTGTGGGCAAGGTTTTTGTCCTCTTTAGTCCTCAGTCTCTTTTTCTGTAAATGGAGAGTACAGATTCAACATAGGCTCATCTGGATGGCCCACCCAAAGGGAGAGGCACTATGTGGACTCCCCTTTGTCTTCCTCCTGGCAGGGCTTGCATCTGACTTCCTTTAAGGTATAAACCATTAGGGTACATATGGCTCTTCTACCTCTTCTTCTTTGGGACTTCTGGTTTTCTTTTTTGCCTTTTTCTGGCTTGAGTGGGTTTCTGTGCCGTGCGCATGTGTGTATGTGTGTGTGTCTCTCTCCCTGGGTGGGCTCAAAGCTTTTTCACTTTTTACATATGATGTATTACTTTAATGTCTTAAAACCTTGTCAGCCTCTATTTTTGCAACGAACCAGGAACCTATACTTGGCATAACAAACTTCAAAGCTAATTTTTCAAGTGAAAATATCCCATTCTAGGATGGAAGAGACTGAATCAAAATATTTCAGGAGTATTTGTTGAACTGTGAGAGGAAGAGCTTGATGACCTGTGGAATCCTTATCAGACTGTTTTTTCTTTTCTTCTATTTTAACATGTTTTTGCCTTCTACTACAGCGAACTCTAGTTGGCCTAGTAAGAGACCTGAGAGGGATCGCTTTTGCTTTCAATGCCAAGACCAGCTTCATGATGCTCTTTGAATGGATGTATCCTAACTCTGACTAGGAGCACACCTACAGCAAGCCTTAACTGAAGTGTGATTGGGTGATGGGGTCAAGAGAGGGTGTGCAGGGAAGGGAAGGCGTAGTGAGGCAGAGAAGATGAAGAGCTACCCAAAAGGCCTGCATGTGTTCTGGAAGCCACCATTTCACAGTGGTCTAATGACAGACATAAGGTTGTCTGAGGTTAGAACATGAATGAGGTGGTCTCCCAGTTTCTCTTTTGGATCTCAAATATAAATGCCTGTGGAACTATATACCACTGTAGAACTGTTGATTTTGCTATATTTAGAGAGATGTTTCAGTCTAAGGAAAAAAAAACAAATAATAGTTTTTACAAATTAGGAAGTCTTAAGTTTACTGACTCTCTAACCTTGCGCAGATTATTTGAAATCCAGGTGCCTCTTTCTGTAATAGTTACATAAAGGAAATGAGCTGATCCCCTGTCATACCATAGAAGTGGTAAGAGGATAAATAACAATCTGAAATACATCATGTTCTTTAGAAGAAAGGCACTAGGTAAATTAAAATGTATTACTAGATGCCTTTTACAGGTTAAAGAACACAAAATCACTTTAGTGTTTTCTGGTTAGAAAGACCTCCAACGTTAGCAAGCAAGAGACTGGAACTTAACTGTAATTTGACAGTCTGTGCTTGGCTAGTGCTAAAAACCTATTTTAAATTCTGTACCTTTCTTGAATCAGAAATCCTTCCTTAGCTTCTCATTTACAGATATCCATCCTACATGCCAATTCTCCAACGGGCAATTGAGCTCTGGTACCATGATCCAGCCTGTACCACACCTGTACTCAAGCTGATGGCTGAATTAGTTCATAATAGGTAAGCAAGAAGCACAGCTTCCAAGGTTACAGCTGCCCTGTTATCTGAGAGAGTTTGTTGTATCTAGTGCTTTGGGCAGATTGTGGGAGATGAGATTTACTGCTGCATTTTAAAATTTGAAAAGTTTTTATGTATGTTTTTGTTTGAAAGAACAGTATTCCTAACTACACAAAATCATAGCCCACTGCAGGAAATAAGTTACTTTTAAAGAGTCTCCACGGGGGCACAGTGGCTCACGCCTGTAATCCCAGCCCTTTAGGAGGCCGAGATGGGCAGATCGCTTGAGTGCAGTAGTTCAAGATCAGCCTGGGCAAGATGGTGAAACCCACCCCTGCAAAAAATTAGCCAGGCATGGTGGCATACACCTGTAGTCCAGCTACTCAGGAGGCTGAGGTGGGAAGATCACTTTAGCCTGGCAGGCAGAGGATACATTGAGGCCAAGATTAAGCCATTGCACTCCAGCTGGGTGACAGAGTAAGACCCTGTCTCAAAAAAAAGTAAAATAAAAAGAATCTCCAGATGTCCATTCTTAGGAGAAGTAAATTTGGCAACCAATATTCTGATTTCCTGCTCACGGATATAAAGGTTAACATTTGGTAATGGTGCCTTGTCCATCACATTTCATGGTTAGAGATGTTGAGAAGGATATGATCGGTATCAGAATAGCTTTATCTTCACTGTCTCCATGAGACCTTTTATAACCACAATGATTACAAATAGTTCTTTCTTTGTTGAATTATTAGGTCCAGAATAGAAGATGTCATTGTACACCTTATTTCACTCACACTGTTAGGCTCTGATGTGCTATGCTTAGCTATCTGCCAGAGATGGGTAAATTATAAAACTCACATGTACTGCTTAAGTTTATATCTTATGCTAGTTTATAAGAACAATTAAAAGGACTTAGAAGATTTAAAAAAAAAAAAAAAAAAAAAGGAATACTCTTTCTTAAGAAAGGGATTTATTAAAAAGGTTGTGGCAGGAGCAATAAAAATTTACTTTTAAAAAGTCAGAATGATTTTCAAAACACCAAATTAGGATAGTAAAAAAGAAAAATCTAGCACCTTAGCTTTCCCAGAATTTCAGATACGTGCATTGGTCTCTCATGGGAGTCCTGAGACAGTAAGTTTTAAAACTACCTTAGGGGGTGGGTAATACTCAAAGAAGCTATAACCTCCCAGGAGGCATATATTCAGGAGTTACTCATTTATAACGTAGATACTCGAGAGCACTTGCTCTTTGCCCAGCCTTCGTAGCCACTATGCCAGACAAAATCTCTACCCTCTGATGTTACAAATGGTGAGGAAGACACAATAAAAACAAGTATGGAAGATCTTTCCAGATAGTGATTGCCATGAAAAAAAAAATAAATAAAGCAGTAAAATAGAGGAGAATTAAAGGATAGGAGGGTCAGGGAAGACCTCTCTGAGAAGGTAATATTAACTAGGATCTAAATGACGAGAAAGATTCTGGTAGCCCTGCAAAGATAAGAGATGTTCTAAACAGAAAACAACTGCAGGAGTCCTGAGATAGGATAAGCTTGCTGGGACTTGTGGCACGAGTCTGGTGGATGGGGGAGGCTGTGGGAGCGGGGTCAGACCAGTGAAGCAGAGCCAGATCATCTAGCGTCTCAGTACAGCAGTAGTGAGGAGTGGGCATTTATTCTCGTTGCAGTGGGAAGCCGCTAGAGTGTTTTCAGCAAGGGATTAAAATGATCTCATTTAAGTTATTTAAAGGCTTCCATGAGAAGAATGGGACTGAAGGCAGGTAAGAATAGGAGCAGAGAGACTGTAAGGGAGAGGTGGATTCGGGGTATGTTTTAGTTAGATGTTGATGGATTCAGTGTTGGGGGTAGGAAAGAGGAAGTAGGAAGCACTCCTAGGCTTTTCAGGTCTTACCTTGAGTCTAGTGAAGCTTATCAAAATGTGGAGCAGACAAAAGAGAAGATTGTTAGAAATGTCTATCTTTTCTGTCCGGCTTCTTTTAGACCATTCCAATTCCCTTTGTATCCTTTCTTCATATAAAATAGTAACAGTGCCTTTGCCCCTCTCTCAGATGCCACTGAAGCCATAAAGATCCATGCAGACTATTGGCTGAAGGGCTCTGAGTTAGTACCAAGAGGTGACTGGTAGAAAGTATACTTTAATCAAATAAAATTGAGATTTGTAAGACAGTAATTTTATCTGCTGCCTTTTTTCTTCTCTTTTAAATGTTTTTAATTTGAGCAGCAGAATCTGAATCTAGCATGTTGGTCTTCAAGATGGAAGCTACATTATTGGTTAAATATCTATAACTTGGTTATCCTCATTAGAATAGGCAGGCTACTTATTTTAATGTAAATGCAGGATCACCCAAGGTGTGAGAGCCTCAAGTACCCTAGTCTTCCCAGAAAACAGTCTGACGTTTTCTCCTCCTGTGCCCTTCGCTCAGATCCCAGCGACTCCAGTTTGATGTCTCTTCCCCCAATGGCATCTTACTCTTCCGAGAAACCAGCAAGATGATAACAATGTATGGTAAGTGCTTCAGAGAATCATGCCCCTCAAAGTTAATTCCAGCTCACTCACCACACTGTAAGCAGCCTGTGGGTCTCCGGCCAGCCCTGGCAAGAGCCAGGACAGCATTGCTATTGTATGCTAATACATGTGCATTAGAGTGCCACCTGTCACCAGGGGCCTGCTGGAATTTGCCTTTGGAGTAGGAAGGCTGATATAAATGAGCACTTCTAATGTAGTTGAATAAACATATATGACATGTCTACTCAGGCAATCGCATCCTGACACTAGGAGAGGTCCCAAAGGATCAGGTCTATGCTCTGAAGCTCAAGGGCATATCCATCTGCTTCTCCATGCTGAAGGCTGCTCTCAGTGGGAGTTACGTCAATTTCGGAGTCTTTCGTCTCTATGGAGACGATGCCCTGGACAATGCTTTGCAGACCTTCATCAAGCTGCTCCTCTCTATTCCCCACAGTGATCTCTTGGTAAGCCTTACGCTACATTGCCAGAATCTTGTTCCTCATCACATTTAGCCTTTTTCACCTAAGACCATGATGGAAAAACTCTCGAAAAACTATATAGGCTAGCTCTTTTCTGCTATAACTAAGTCTTTTGTTTTCCCAACTGAAAGGAGCTAAGCTATTTAAGATCGTCTCCCTGCATGCTGGAGTGCATGGTGCCTAAGCTGATTTTCTTCCTCCTCTCTCCCACAGGATTACCCCAAGCTCAGCCAGTCTTATTATTCACTACTGGAAGTCCTGACCCAGGACCATATGAACTTTATTGCAAGCCTGGAACCTCATGTCATCATGTATATTCTCTCTTCCATTTCTGAAGGACTTACTGCTCTTGGTAAGCACGTGGGTGGGGTGGGTAAGTTGGTGGGTTGGTTTTTTTCTTTTGTTTTGTTTTGTCTTTTAACCACTTAACAGAAAGAGAGAAGCTTTAGAGATAAGCAGGAGCAAATCTGGAGATAATGAAGGGGGCCCATAAGCCATATTAGGCTGTTTGAACTCTGTCCTAAGGGCCGTGGAAGCTGGGGAAAGGTTTCACACAGCTAGCTCCATAAGTTTTTTCATCCTAGTCCATATGGTTCCTGTCAACCAATTTGTTTATAGGTAATATGTGTATGTAATAGGGATATGTGTTTTGTAATAGGTGTATGTGTTCGGAGAGTAAAACACATTTTTATATTAGGCTGAGCAAAACCTAAGTAGGAGGATTAAGTCAGCTGCCAAATAGTGATGATATATTGCAAATACACATAGACTGACTTGTAGATTATCAACTGTGGTGAATTATCCATGCCTCTGTGCCACTTTGATGCACATTCACTTCCATTTCCACTATTCCATCAGGGTGCATAGCCATATGTAGTACAGTCCAGTCAAAGTATCAGCCCTTGCTTTGGAAGACTGTTGTCTTACTGAAAATAGAGGGACCTTTGTATAAACCATCAGTCCCTTAGGAATCAGAGAATTGCTTACTCTTTTAAGGGTTCATCCCTTAGTCCTTTGGGCTCACCTCATCAGTGCTGTACTGTTCCCTTTGTAAAGATGCATAGAAGAGTCTGCAGCTTCCCTCAGAGATGCGCTGGAGATAAACACGTAATATAGCACAGCCCATTCTAACAAACGATAGACATTCATAGGCTACATCAGTCTTGGTTTAATGACATCCTGCAGGTAACTCAGAGCATAGGCTCCTACCCCAGGCTTCTTGGATTCCAATCACAGCTTTTGCAGTTACTGTCAGTTGATCCTTAGGCCGATGCATAACCTCTCCAAATTCTGGTTTCCTCATATGTAAAACAGAAAACCTACTGCCTGGAGTTCTTGAGACAATAAATTAGATAACACCTGTAAAGTACTTAGAACAATATCTAGCACAACAGAAGCACTTGCTAAATTAAACTGTCATTTTGTGTGCAGCAGAAGATGTACATCAACAATTCATTGAGACAGTAATTTCAGTATTCTTTATTTATATATATTTCCAATATTCACTTTCAAACTTAGAAATTGAGCCCAGCTGTACGATGAGGGTAAGAGGTTAACAAGGAGTCCTCCTGAGCAGTGGCCTTGGCTGAATTGGCCACAGGACGGACCTTAGTGGATGTCAGCCAAAGATAGATAGTCCATATTTGCCCAGGTCACCTTCAGCAGCTCTGTCCTACTCCTACCTTTCTTTCTTGCAGACACCATGGTATGCACAGGCTGCTGCTCCTGCCTGGACCACATAGTGACATACCTCTTCAAGCAGCTGTCACGTAGCACCAAGAAGAGGACCACACCCCTGAACCAGGAGAGCGACCGCTTTCTGCACATCATGCAGCAGCATCCAGAGATGATCCAACAGGTAAGAAAGTGATGGAGTGTCTGAAAGAGGAAGGACCTCTGCAAGACAGGGGAGGCCACACATGACTAACCTAACATCTCATCAGGTTCCTGCTGCTGAGATGAAGTTCGTTTCTTAAAGTTGCAGTGGATTTTGAGTTTGCCAAGTAATCACTGGATATAGAAAATCTGAAAAAAAAAATCAGGTTCTGGATTATTCTTCTGACTGTCATAGCAACCCCTGTGCCCTGGACCTATCACATGAGCACTATCCTCTTTTCTTTGAAAATTACTTTGCTCACCCACTGCAATAAATAGAGCAAGAGTTAGCAGCATCCAGCTTTCTAACAGCCCGTGCTCTTGTTTACAAAACGGGAACGTAAATGCAAGACAGAAGAAAATAACTGGCCACAGTGAGGTCAACTATATGCTTGCCCGTATTTGTATGCAATGAAAATAAAACTTGAAATAACTTACAGGAATAGATACTAGATAAAAATAGGTAAGGAAATGGGATCAGTAATTATTGAGATTTTAGCTAATCTTACCTTTGTCCACACTGTTCTCTAAAGAAGCAGTGACATGGCCAGGTGCGTAATCCCAGCACTTTGGGAGGCCAAGATGGGTGGATCACGAGGTCAGGAGATCGAGACTCCTGACTAACACGGTGAAACCCCATCTCTACTAAAAATACAAAAAATTAGCTGAGCATGCTGGCACGGGCCTGTAACCTCAGCTATTCAGGAGGCTGAGGCAGGAGAATTGCTGCAACCCAGGAGGCAGAGGTTGCAGTGAGCCAAAATTGCGCCACTGCACTCAAGCCTGGGAGACAGAGTGAAACTCCATCTTAAAAAAAAAAAAAAATGGCAGTGAGGGGCAGTGAATTAATTCAGAACTCCATCACATCCACAAAATATCATTAAACTGTCAACTCCAAGTACCTGGAAGGGATCATGCAAGGTGGTTTTGCCTACTGTAATTTTGTTTATGTGACCCCATCCCATTCCCCACAAGTCAGGGTGAACTGGAAAGATCCATTTGTAAGTGAAATTATCAAACCAATTTTAAGAACAGGAAAGGAAATGAGTATCTTAGAAGAAATGGTTACTTTGAAATAGAAGACTCAGATGAAGCTTCACAAACTATTTGTCAGACTTACCCTACACAGAAAAGGCCTTCAGTCTAATATACTCCTGTATTTGGAATCTGTCGTTTTATCTTGGGTAGCTGTACATAGGTCATTGCCTCAAATCCTCCGTTTTCAGATGCTGTCCACGGTGCTGAACATCATCATCTTTGAAGACTGTAGGAACCAGTGGTCTATGTCCCGACCCCTACTTGGCTTGATATTACTTAATGAAAAGGTGAGAGAGCGAGCTCCCTGGTGCCAACCCAGAAGACCACGCACTTCCTATCACCAGGCACTGAGAGAAATGTGTATAGAAACACCCCAGGATGGTGAAACAGGGAAAATGGGTCATTTACTGAACATGCCCCATTCATGTTTTCAGTATCACATAATCACTTAGTTGTTAGAAGTCAGCATGTGTGGTAGCTCACAGACACAGGGTAAAGGAGTGTTTCCCTCTCAGGAAATAAGAGAAACCTTTTAAGGAAGTAAGGTACTTGGGTATCAGAGGGCCTAAGACCTAAGTTCCATTTCTAGCTCTGCCATAAACAAGCTTTGAGATTCCTATAAAAGAAAGGGCTGGTTACATGACCCTTTTAAAGTGCTTTACAAATTAAAAATTCTTGATTTTTTTAGTAAGGTGAAGACATATTATCCTGGAAGGACTTGCCTGAATTTTTTTTAAGTGTCCAATTTTAGTAGATATTCCATTACTCTTTAGAGAAGAACATTTTTCATCCCTGACGGTGATAGAGGGCGAATCTGCCTTTCCCTGCATCTCTTACCTTCTGTTCCACTCCTTGCCCCACAGTATTTTTCTGACCTAAGGAACAGTATCGTGAACAGCCAGCCACCAGAGAAGCAGCAGGCCATGCATCTGTGTTTTGAGAACTTGATGGAAGGCATCGAACGAAATCTTCTTACAAAAAACAGAGACAGGTGAGTATAGAGTGTCCTGCCTAGAAATCTCAGACAGTTGTTATTTTTCACATCAGCGAAACAGGCAATTCCTTTAAAGCCTTTGTTTATCTGTGTTTGGAGGCCATCTAAAGCAGTGCTATCCAATAGAAAAGTGAGCCATGTTAAACAGGCAAAATTCATTTTAATGATATACTTTAACCCAGTGTATCCAAAATATTATATCAATGTGTAATCAGTATTTTTAAATTGTGGGTTTTCACATTCTTTTTATTGTACTACATTTTCAAAATCCTGTACATTTTACATTTAACAGCGTATCTCAATTCATACCTTTTTTTTTTTTGGGAGACGGAGTCTTGCTCTGTCACCAGGCTGGAGGGAAGGCCCAGTCTCGGCTCACTGCAGCCTCTGCCTCCTGGGTTCAAGTGATTCTTCCACCTCAGCCTCCCAAGTAGCTGGAACCACAAGCGTGTGCCACCACACCTGGCTAATTTTTTTGAATTTTTAATAGAGGCGGGTTCCACCATGGCCAGGATGGTTTTGATCTCTTGACCTCGTGATCTGCCCACCTTGGCCTCCCAAAGTGCTGGGATTACAGGCATGAGCCAAAGGCATTTTAATTTAAAATTAAGATGCAGTTGAGGAGCTGAATGTTAACTGTATTCAATTTGGAATCATTTCCTCAGTCACACTGGCCCTAATTTAGATACTCAGTGGCTATGTGTGGTTGGCAGCCACCCTATTGGACAGCACAGCACTACACCAACTGGTCTTGCTGCATTAAGAAAGGAGACTGTGTCCTTCACTTCCTGCCTCACTTTGTGAGAGTAACTTCCTACCTCTGTCAGTGACATTTCTTTTGTGCTGCCATGAGCCCAATGCAGCCCTCAGGGCCCCAGACTTGACCAGATCTCTAGGCCAACTTTCCCTTAGAGTCTTAAGACTGAGATTAACTGATCTTTGAAACAGAACCCATCAATTCATACATTCTACTTCCCATGCTTTAAAAAAAAAAAAAAAAAACTGTAGGCAAATAACTTTCCCTCACACCCTCCTCCCCCAACCCACATGCATCCTCTCTGCAGGTTCACCCAGAACCTGTCAGCATTCCGTCGAGAAGTCAACGACTCGATGAAGAATTCCACTTATGGCGTGAATAGCAATGACATGATGAGCTGACACCTCCTTGGACTCTACCTGTACAGAGCAGCGTCCCTTTGGTTTGGCCCAGAGGGGCGAACAATTGCAAGGGAGAGGGCCTGGCTGATCCTGGCTCCTTCCTCCAGGGGTGTGGGGAAAATGGCAAAGGTCAACTAGCTACTTCCCCAGGGAATAGGGGTGTGAGTGCACTCATTGGGGGGGGCAGGGCGCTGCTGGTTCCTGGGGGACTGGGTGGGAAGGGTGGTGGGAGGAGATAAGAAACACAAACTGAGACTCCAGCCCCTCCTCCTGGGGCCACCCAAGTGGGGAGAACCCCTAGTGTCCTGCCACAACCTGCCTTGTATAAACATGTACATTTTTTCATAACATTTTGAACAAGGTTTATATTGACTCAAGTTTAAAAACAAAAAGTGTGACTGAAAAATTTTTACAGAGTCTAGTGCACCAATGCTGATGTGAGGGGTTGTGTATGCGAGTGAAGAAAATGTGTATTCTGGTGGCCTGAAGCTTTACTGGACAAGGATGTGTGAGAGTGCAGAGATATATTTAGTGACACAGTAGAGAGGCAAAAAAAAAAAAAAAGAAAAAAAAAGCTAAAATTCCAAATGTATATTTTTTCGTATTGCCCTGTCCTCACCCAGAAATGATCACTTCCTGTTACTGTATTAACCCTTGTTATTAGGAACTCTAAGCCATGCCAGAACACCGTCCCTCCCCTTGGACCGTATAGGTTCTGCCCTGGGTCCCTGGCCCCTTGCAGTGACAAATAACTCCAGCTAAAAGTGTTTGGTGTTCTTATCCCCATCCTCTTTCCCACTTTGCTTACCTTCATCCTCAGACAGATGCCTCTTGCTTTTAAAAGTTGGATTTAACGACATGTTGTAGGGTTCTTGGTCTCTGTGAAGATAGAGGCCAGAGAGAAGGAAGTGAGCCCACTGCTCTCCTATGGGGCAATGTGGGTGAGTCCACCAGAGGCCCTGCTGTGTGTGGCCAATAAATTTCAGTCTTCCCCAGCCCTCGAGGCAGTGTGTGTGGATGTATGCGTGTGGATATTTATATATGTACCCTGCACTCATGAATGTATGAACTGGAGGAAGTTACTACAGTGGAGGGGTTCTTAATAACAAGGTCTACCTAGCATGAAGTATTTAACATTCTCCCACTCCTTAAAAATATACATTTTTATAAAATGAAAACCATAATAAATGTTTTGAATATTAAAAAAATTAACCTACAGAAGAAAATTAATGGAGAAAGCTATTTGCCTTGTACTTTTTCCACAATTATTGCTGCTAGTTGTACACATCTCTAGTTCAGCTCTTGCCCACGGGACACTCATCAATTAGGTTTTATTTTTATTTCTCTCCTCTACCCCCAGAAACAAGCCTGTTAATTTTTTTCCCTTCTCCTCTGGCGACTGTGTGATGAATCCTTTCTTGCGTGATCAGGTTGCGGATAGACTTGTAAGGGTGTTTGCTGCATACAGTGTAAGCATTGTGACCGCCAATAAACTTCAATGGTTTCTACTGACCTGGCTTCAGCAATCATGTCCCGTGTGTGTCCAAGGACATATCTCACTCAAAACACGTGAAGATGTGTGAGGCATTCTTAAAAAGCTGGTAAATGATGGGCCCCTCTACCTGATCAAATTAACTTCTCATTGCACTCAGTTTCTTCTAATAGCATGATACGGTTGATTTATCTCTCTCAACAAAACCAATCACCTGCTGTTGTCCACAGCTATAAAGTGGAAGCCACTCTACCTCTCTATTAGCTTTCAGATAATAACATGGCTACGAGCAGACAAGTAGTAATTGAAGAAAGCCCGGTTGTGTTAATGTTCTGACATCAGCTTCTCTGATGTGGGCTGGGTTTCCTTCATTAGACCATGACAGGTTCAAGGGTAGATGTTATCCCCATGGAATACTTTGCAGACCTCACAGGTCAGACTTATCAAATGAGGAACACTTGTTAGGAGGGACTACTTCTAACCCCTGCCATGTATGTATTCAGAGTACATGCGTATGAGGGAACTTCATTGCCAGAAACACAGGAAAGCATTAAGTTATTAGAAAGGTATGTGTATCTTAGTGTAGATGTTCATCCCATGACTCTCAGGCGCCAGGGTGGCATTCTTGTCTGCTTATGTACACGTACTACTACCGTTCAGTTTCAGCCTTCTGGGAACTGCTATAGCTGCCTCAGTCCTCAGTTATTTCAAAGGCAGAAAGTTGTGTTCTGATGGCTACAAGGCAAATGGATTTGATTCGTCTTAGCCAAATTCCATCACTAAGCCTAGCAAATATTAAATGGTGAGTTTTCATTAATATGCCTACACTTGTGACATGTCCCTGGCACCTGGAATTCTGATGCTATAGTTAAGTGACACAAAAATAACTTTGTCATGTATACTTAAGAGTCCACTCTCCCCACCTATTTTGAGGTGCTAATTAATCAGTAAAACTCCAGACCCCTCCCTTCCCTTCCACAAAAATAATTTCAGAGGCAAGAAACTCACCGAAGGTAGGGGTAGTGCAGTCCAGTCACAAGGCGCCATGATTAAAATCCTCCACAGCTTCACCAGACTTCAGACAGTGGTGCTGTTCCCTCCTTTGCTGACAATTAAGAGGGGGCACCAAATCACCTTTTGGTCAAAAATGGTCAGTTAGCATTTTCATATGATTCAACCTAGTAAATGTGAAAATTGATAAATCTTCAGATTTTGGTTTCCCCAGAAATCGAGACTTTTCAGTCAAAAAGTGAATTTCTAGGCTTATTTCCTAGGCACTGTGTCCATCTAGTCAAGGGTCTAGTGTTTCCTGACACAAACTGTACCTTACATTAAAAATGCCTAAATTCTTTACTATAGATTATTAAATTGTGTTTGTATATGTTTTGTTGGCTCAGCCCAAATAAGGGTTATCTGTTCCCACTAACATGTAAATCAGACAAAGGAAGAAAGGATTTGGCCCAGGATTGCCATTTTAAGTTTTTAAATTTTAAGAAATAATTACTTTGAGGGCCGGACGCGGTGGCTCAAGCCTGTAATCCCAGCACTGTGGGAGGCCGAGGCGGGTGGATCATGAGGTCAAGAGATCGAGACCATCCTGGTCAACATGGTGAAACCCCATCTCTACTAAAAATACAAAAAATTAGCTGGGCATGGTGGCGTGTGCCTGTAATCCCAGTGACTCAGGAGGCTGAGGCAGGAGAATTGCCTGAACCCAGGAGGCGGAGGTTGCGGTGAGCCAAGATCGCGCCATTGCACTCCAGCCTGGGTAACAAGAGCGAAACTCCGTCTCAAAAAAAAAAAAAAAAGACTTAATAGAAATAATTACTTTGGGCAGAAGTGCCCATTTTCTTTTTTCCATTTATTTATTTTATTGCATTTTAGGTTTTGGAGTACATGTGAAGAACATGCAAGATTGTTGCATAGGTACACATGTGGCAGTGTGATTTGCTGCCTTCCTCCCCATCACCTACATCTGGCATCTCTCCCCTTGCTATCTCTCCCCAACTCCCCACCCCCCCCCCGCCCCCCCCCTTTTTCCCCGCAACTGACCCCAGTGTGTAGTGCTCCCCTCCCTGTGTCCACGTGTTCTCATTGTTCAACACCCGCCTATGAGTGAGAACATGCGGTGTTTGATCTTCTGCTCTTCTGTCAGTTTGCTGAGAATGATGGTTTCCAGGTTCATCCATGTCCCTACAAAGGACACGAACTCATCGTTTTTGATGGCTGCATAATATTCCATGGTGTATATGTGCCACATTTTCCCTGTCCAGTCTATCATCGATGGGCATTTGGGTTGGTTCCAGGTCTTTGCTATTGTAAACAGTGCTGCAATGAACATTCGTGTGCACGTGTCCTTATAGTAGAACGATTTATAATCCTTTGGATATATACCCAGTGATGGGATTGCTGGGTCAAATGGAATTTCTATTTCTAGGTCCTTGAGGAATCGCCACACTGTCTTCCACAATGGTTGAACTAATTTACACTCCCACCAACAGTGTAAAAGTGTTCCCATTTCTCCACATCCTCTCCAGCATCTGCTGTCTCTAGATTTTTTCAGGACATAGGCATAGGCAAGGACTTCATGACCAAAACACCAAAAGCATTGACGACAAAAGCCAAAATAGACAAACGGGACCTAATCAAACTCCACAGCTTCTGCACGGCAAAAGAAACAGTCATTAGAGTGAATCGGCAACCAACAGAATGGGAAAAAATTTTTGCAGTTTACCTATCTGACAAAGGGCTGATATCCAGAATTTACAAAGAACTAAAACAGATTTACAAGAAAAAAGCCCATTCAAAAGTGGGCAAAGGATATGAACAGATACTTTATAAAAGAAGACATACATGAGGCCAACAAACATATGAAAAAATGCTCATCATCACTGGTCATCAGAGAAATGCAAATCAAAACTATATTGAGATACCATCTCACGCCAGTTAGAATGGTGATCATTAAAAAATCTAGAAGTGCCCATTTTCCAATGACACTTGACAACCTAAGAAATAAGTTTTTCATTCTCTAAAACATTGGCTTTATTAAGGGACTTTCTCCCCTCCCCCCCAGCTTCTCCCCCGCACTGGAAACAAATGTTTTAGTACCTTTTGAAATTTCAACTAAGTACAACAGATCACCTTCCAAAATATCCATGCTTGTGGGGTAACATGAATTAAATCTAGAAAGCCAGAAAAACTTCCTGTCGTCTTTGCCACAAGCCAACCCTAGCCCAAGATTTTTGGCTAGATATACAAACTTAGATTGACATATAATGCTGCCAAAACTATCAAATGCCAAAGCCAAAAGGGAGAGGAAAGGCAGTTACAGGGCACCTGTAAAAGCCACAAGCTTGATGAAAAAGTGTTTGAAAAGATAAAAATGTGTTCATCAGCCATAATTAGATAGTAGGGCATGTCTAAGCAGATTCTTGCCTCTAGCTTGTCCTCTGGGTCCATTGCATTTATCTGAACTCACTGGTCAGCTACCACTTTGGTGCTTTTCAGGAAAGGTGGGTCAACTAAAGGAATCAGCTGCCAGACAATGGGACATGGGGCTGTCAAGGTAGAGGATGAAATTAAGTTTGGAAAATCATTCCCTTCCTCAGAAAAGCCTCTTGTTCTCAGGACAGCCTGACTGCTACCCTTTGTCATCTGCGCATCAAATACTTATTCAATATCTGTTACGGGCCAAATATCTTTTTGATGGTCAGCAATGGAAAAGGAAAGTCAAAAACTGAAAAAGTCACTCACAAGCAAATTTATTTCCATTCTTCCGTTTTATGATCACCTAGTAACAAGCTGACTCTAAAACATAGTAAACATTACTACAAAAGCACCATGCCCAACAATTGCTTTAATTCTATGTGATAGCCATGAAGACATACGGCCTAAAAGAATGGCAAGTGGAGAATCTCTTAAGCCTTGCTATTGAATCACAAAGTAATCAAGTCACAACCTCTGAATTCAAGGTGTGGAGGACAGACTCACAGGATACAGACTATCTTATGGACAGTTGATCTAGCCTTATGTAAAGCTCAGAATGTCCAATGCAGAGTCTGACAGGCACTCCCTACAGCTAGTAAAAGGGTGGGAGGATGTAAAAGCGGTGGGGTCTCAAAACCCAAACCTCTTCCCAGCTGACCATACTGTGTAATGAAGGTAAAGCATCCTCTCAAGGTCAAATTCAGCTGGAAAATGGTTGAGTGCCAACTAAGATGATGAAAACAAAACCACTTTTAAGTTTAGGAGAATAGAAGACCATTATTTCATTAGGAAGCTAGGTACCTATCCTTTAACACCTTGCAGTCCAGGGCATGTGTCACAAGTTAACTTTATCAGCCAAGCTGCGAACGCTGCAGCAGAACTCATTCAACTATGCGGATGCAACCGCCATCTCTGCCTCCACATCCTACCTCCAGCCTTTGCGGGTCTGCAGAACCCTCTTCTCAGTCTAAATTTACATGCCCTTTGCTCGGCTACCCAAATCGGACCCAGTACCTCTCAAGTCTCTCCTTACTGTGCCGGTTCCTAAGAGCCTTAGGGGCCACCTACTCTTCTGTTTGGAGTGCACCTGACCCCAATCCCTGCCTATCCCAGTAGCCAATGTGTGCTCTTTATGAGCTGCGGCCAAACCACGGTGTCATGACCAGAGACAAGGATGTGCAGTTTCTGGAGCATGGACAGTAAGGAGAGTGGTGGAACTAATTTGGGTGAAGCCCCTGCAAAGAGACGCCAGGCTGGTTTATCCGGGTTAAATGCAATGAAAAGAGTAAAGCTGTTGACACCAAAGGGAGAGTTCACACCCGACCCGGCCTGACCTCCCAGACTAGCATTGTGGTCCCGGAAGTAATTCGGCGCGTTTCTTCCGCCAGGAGGCGCCACCGCCCCCCTTGGCGTCTGCGCACTCAGATCCGTGCCCTCTGTTCCGGCCCTCGCCCCGCCTTCGCCGCCGCCACCACCGCGCGCAGGCGCAGTCCCGGACTTGGTCCTGCCTTGGGCACCTTGTGTTGCGGCTAGA